GAACAAAACTGATTTTAAGCAATATTTTACTGACATAAATTATTATCATTTTAGTCTTTAAAATAAAATTTTCACTTAACTTTTTATTTTGGTCTGTCTGATGGTATAATTTTTAAATATTAAATTACTGATAATTTCATCAGTTACTTGGTAATTGAGTAGACTTTTTACCAAACGCTTTTTTACTTAATTGATTGTTTTGATGGCTACATTTTTACTTTTATTTGAGTAAAAAGATGTCAAAGTAGTGCTACTCTTACTCGAGTACAGTTTTTAGTTACCCATCTCCGATGCCACGTCTTGGTGTCTGGGTTCAGTTTCTTCCTCGCCTTTCTGTACTTACGTGTCTCTGTGTGTTTCCTTTGCAGATCCACTCTGCTGAGCAGAGTTTAAAGCTGAAAGAAGACAAACCCAACAGGCGGGACGTGTCCTGTCCACTCTGCTGTTGTCCAAGCAAAGTATCCCAATCTCTGAAGGGAAACGACAATCTCTCCTCAGACTGTGGAGGACTTTGAATGTTCCCCTCCCCAGCACTGAGCTATGCTTATGACCCTGCGTCCTCCATGCTGTATATTTGAAGACAGCTGTTTTTCATCTCTTTGTATGACTTTATAGTCGTTTTGTTAAAGACACACTACAGACCTTCAGGGTGAAAGAGAAGGTTGATCTTTCTGTGTGCAGGTGTTGGGGCTTGTTGCGCCCCCTGCTGTTTTAATACGTTTAATATTGCGTTAGCTGCTGGTCAGCTAGCAACACAGATATGCTACACACCTTCTGGTTCCTGATGCCAGCATTCTCTGCAGAGAAGCCAAACCTTAATGCAGTCGTTCACTAAGATGGCATTTTGTCCAGTTTTCCAGCTCAACTTTCCCCCATCCCACAACTTTTGATTAGTGACTCTTAACAGTGGTTGTGTTTCCATTAAAATGTGCGCAAAACATTGAAATAATAATTTGCAAGTTTCTAAGTTAGAAAAGCAATTAAAATCCCACCTGAATAAGCTTGTTCACACAACGTCATTTAAAAAAAACACGATCCTCCAACTACTTCCTGTTTTCTTCTTCTGCGCCAGTGGCAACATCCGGTTGTTGATCATGTGACTCATCCAACGCGAAGTAACATGATTAAAAAAAAACCTCTCATTTTAGCACCCAAACTCTATCAATACATATATATTTTTAATTGTCGTGTTTCCCTTTAGCTAGTTAATTTTCAGTATGTCAAATTGCGCAATCCTACGGTCAATGGAAACGCAGCTACTCTGGTTGTGATGTGTGATAAAAAGAAATGCACTGGCTGTATTTAAAAAAGACGCGTCTGTTATCTGTTTTTGTAGATGAGAAAGTAGGAAGCAACACTTATTTAAACCCTGGCTGAATGGCTGAGTGGGTAAATGTTTTTAGAGGATGGCTGTTCAAACTTGGCCTTCTGCTGCTGAGGTTTCACGCTGCCCCCTGGTGGCCGGTGCAGAAAAATGAATTTGTTTTGAGTGTTTGAAAATGTGTTTCATATTTCATTTATTTATAAATGTGTGCAGTCACGTTATGTTTTCACCTTATTTAATTTTGTACTAGCAACATAACATCCTTCTGTATGTTTAGCTCTCGGATGTTTGTTTGATATTTTTATGAAACCGTTATTTTTTTTCAAGGTACCTGATCAGAGGATGAAGTTAAATGTGTTTTTTGACTGATGTCTGCGTTGCCTTGACTGTTTCCACACAGAGTCCTTGTTTTAGCTATTTGTGTCACTCCATCCCATCCTGTGTCGATAATCCATTTGTACTTGTGTCACTGAAACAGAATAGAGAAGCAGTTTATAACTGATTTCGTTGTGTTCAAAAGAGGAAGTTAATAAATTGTTTTGACTCATCAAAATGACTTTTTGGCCTGTTTTTACCTCTATCATCAGTTCTACTATGTGTTGTGCAACAAAATGTTTGGTTAGACATAAATGGCTGTTAGGATAGACTAGGCATTAATTGTCATTTTTTCAGCATTAGCAGCACATTTAGCATTAGCAGCTGATAATGAATCCAATGTAACCAGACCTGGTTCATGTATGTAAGTGAAAGAAAAGGAAAACTCCAGTAAAAAGCTCATGTTGAATGAATAAAATTATTTTTTATCATTCACCAATCTTACAAAACAAATGTTTACACGCTAAACCAGAACTAAACATCAATACTAACAGCAACAAATAACCTAACAAACCTTAAAACTAATTTTTCCACAATTCTCAACAACGCAAAGAAACTGTATCTGTTTTTTTTGTTTGTTTTTTGCTTTAAAACCTAAAAGATACGTCTTGATTGACAAAAAATTAACTATAATAGATACTTATTAAAAAATTCTCATTTTTTAAATAATCAGGTAACATTTGTGTCTCTATTGAGTTGGACTGAGAGCAAAAATGACACTGAACGAAAAGATGAACCGCATAGAATAAAAACAGCTCTTTGGCTCCACCTGGTGGCCAGATTGTGTAAGTGCAAATCGCACACAGCTTCTTAGGAAATTCGCCTTCCCATCCCGCTTGGATCTTTATCACAGTACACACATTTTGTCAGCATTATATCAGCAGCAACACAACAAATGATTTATTTTTATTTGTTTTGCTTGGTGAGCAGAAAGTGATGCAGAAAAGAAGACAAACCCAACCCAATCAGGGCCTGATTTGAAGCCCCTCTTCCTGATTATGACATCATAACCTGGAGATGGTTCCACCATCACACTAAAACATCCATCTGTTTTTGCTTTGTTTTACTTTGTTGATTATTTTTCTGCTGAATAATCCAAGTTAATTTGAACTGGAGGCCCCAAAGTGATGGTCAGACTGGATCCAAAATGTCCTTCTGGGTTTTTGGCTGCAGAGCTCAATCCAGTCTGTCAATAACAGCAAGTAATTCAGATTCTAAAGAAACAAAGCAACTCAAGACTATTACATTTATCATACTACCACCAAGTTTGACTGTTCATCCAACCATCTATTTTCTAACACCCTCGTCCCTGGTGGGGCCAGGAGGCGCTGATGTTTATCTCCAGCTAACGTTCCAGACAAGAGGCAGGGTCATCTGGACAGGTCGCCAGTCTGCCGTAGGTGGTTGATTGTTCATATGCTACAAAATGACACTATCTGCCTGGAAAACATATAATACTGCCCCTTTAAAATGAGAGTGTGATTATATTTTCTCATAAGCCCAAGTCAGTTTTCATCAAACTTCTTCAAATGATTCATGAAACCATCAATTTAATAATTCACAATGTGTTTACGGAGGTCACCTTTGTCTGGAATCATCAAAAGAGCAAAAAGAAAAGAGATCTGATGAGTGTCTACCAATAAAAGCTTGATTAGTGTATCTCCTTCTGTATTTCATCAGAAATCGGAAGATCCTGTCGAAGCTGGGAAAGCTGAGGAATGTCTGCTTTGGATCAACACTTTGTCACAAATACTGGGTGTAACACAAACAAAAACAGGAGATCACACCAGATTTGACACTAGGAAGCTCCAAGCTTCCATACAGATGCACAAGTAAGATGTGGGAAAGATTTATAATCTGGTGATGCAACAGCTGGGTCACCAACCCAATCATTGGTAGATGGTATATATTATACAGTCAGGAAAACAGATTTGGTGTTTCTGTTTGTCTTCTTCCCTGACTGACAGCACATCCTCAGATCTCCTCTCAGGTCGGGCACCAGTGACCTGGATTATTGTTCCCTAGTGACCTCAGCGGTGCAGATGAATCAGTGCTGGCCACCTGCCACCGTTGTTCTTTCTCTGTCAATGGAATCAGCTGCAGGCCACACAACTCATCACAGGCTGGGAAAACCAATGAATCGCTGGTGGGTGTGAAGGACCGCAGCATCCAGGCATTTACATCTGTGAAAATCAAAATGCATAATATCCAAAGAGGGTAATGCAGCTGGGGTCAGTACATTATCATGCTGAGTGTTTGAACTATCCCATTGTCCCACTCATCTGTTTATTGAATTTTATGCTCTTATGAAAACGGTTATTGTAATAACAGCGCAAATGACAAAAACCCCACAGAAAGGAATCAGCCAACCTTCTGATTGTGGAGCATTTTAACCTTTTGTCGAAATCCCTCCATAACAAATCAAAAAGATACAACTATTTCTGAAAAAACCTTGACACTTTATGGCATCCCATAGTTTGTATATGATATCTGATGAGGAACCAACTTTACTTTGGATCAGTGGGTCAAACTGAATAAAATAAAAATGGATGAAATTAGTTTTATGATGTATTTACTGTAAAAGAAAAAGTTTGGACATCTGTATTACGCAACAGATAGTTTGGTCCAGTTGTTCTGAAGAAACTCCTGACTCCATCTGGAGTCTGGATGAGTGGACAGCTGGATGGATGAATGAATGGATGAATGGATGAATCTGTGGACAGATGGATGGATAAATGGATTAAAGTTCAGATGGATGGATTAATTAAAGGATAACAAATGGATGTTGGATGGATATATGAATGGATGAATGGATGGATAAATCTATGGATAGGTGGATGACTGGATGAATGGGTTACAATATGCTTTTTATGGTAGAAATGTTTTTTGCTGAATCATTTTAGATGTTTTGTGTTGTTATTTGATTTCAGTTAATTTATTTAAACCCAATTAGTATGAAATTAAGCTATAAAATTGTCTATTAAAGATTTTAAAGTGTGTTTAAAATGTTTTTTCCCAGAGTCGTGCTTTTTAAAAACAAAACAACAACAACAAAAAAACAATTCAAACTTAAGCAGTAAAAATGACAAAAATCTATATTTCTTGCATTCAGAAAAAAAAAACATTCATGAATACAATTTGATTTATTCGCATAATTTCTCAAATGAAATCGACGCTGACGTCAGCTTACGGTGTAAGCGTGGAGCGCGCGCAGCACGCAGAGTGAGGCGGGACGGGAAGGCAGCTGAGCTGTAGTTAAAGGCAGACCGTTTGTCCCGATGAATCAGTGCAAACAGCTTGGTTCTGTTGGTAAACTCGCAGCTGGGCTCGTCTGAAGGCTGCCGCGGAGAACCAGGTAAGAACCGACAGCAGGTCTCCCCGACCTCAGCCGGTTCAGAACCGGCATGGCGACCTGCCTGAAGTTGCAGGTGCACGCGCTCCCTTTTGATGTTTTAATTGGCTAACCGGCACCAATTAGCGAGCGGTTTGATTACAACAGCGAGAAATTAGACCGAGTCTCGTCATTTATTTATATTTTCTTTAAATCATTTTGTCAACAGATACATTATTGAAATGTACAAAAGAACAAAAAAAAAAAGATAGAGATATTACTGGGTTTTAAAATTGCTGCTTGTATGTGTAAAGTTTGGACTACAGTGAGATCCGACCCCGTTGTTCAGCAGGAATGTCATGAATAAAATCAGCTGCATGTGTGAGTGGGCGGCAGGCCAAGACAGCAACATTATTGTTTTCTGAAATGTTTGTCAGTTTCAGTCATATGTCAGACACCAAAATCAGACTTTATAGCTGTTTCCTCCAGTAATTTCATGCTGACCATCCTATCATCTCTGTGATGCTGTCTGAGCAGACTGAGAGTGACTCTACATGTAATGCAATACTTCCTGCCTTCTGAATAATAAATGGACAAGACGCTTTCATTGACTATTTTCTGTGCGGATCCTCCGTTTCCTCACAGCGCCATCAGCTTGAAATCCCAGTTTGCTCAAACAGACCTGGGTGTTTTCTCCACATCTACATGTCAAATTATGTGACGTTATGAAGATATGAGTTTTGTCTTTTCTGGCTTTGCACATCTAGAGACTGAAACCTTTGCTCATTTTTTTGCAAAACAGCTCAACTCAGTCAGTGAACATCTGTTTTTAAGTCTAAATGTAAATTTTTAACTAGATTTAGTTTTTTTACTTTGACTGGACCACTTTGAGCTAAACCATTTCCTTGTAGTTTTCCTCCTGTATGTTGAACCTCCACCATTAGTTTCAAGTCTTATGCATTCATCAGGTTTTTTTGGTTTTGCTCTGTATTTACAAGCAAGTTTTCAGTCAGAAATAATTCCATAATATTGATGAAAAAATACTTGTTCTACTAGCATATTATAACTTATAATAGGGGAAAATGTCTTGTTTTTAAATGAAATAATCTGCCAATAGAATAAGTACTTTTTTGTCAATATCAAGAAATTATTGATGAAAACAAGCTCCTATTTCTTGATGAAAAGTTACTTGTAATTAATTCTATCTTATTATTTGAACTAGAAAATAGACCAAAATTTTGTGTTAGAAATAAAGAAACCATATTCACAGTAGGAACATTTCAATTGTCATGCTGTGTGTTCCTTGATCTTCATGATTGTTTTTGTTTATTAAAATATTAATTTTCTCTGCAGTACAATGTCTTCTCTATTTAAAAATACCAATACAAATGATTGTCATGAAACCAAAACATTCCTTCCTCATAATTTTTCACCTCCTTTAGGTCTTAAGATGGGGAACGGCTCGATGAAATCAAAGCGTTACAAACCTACCGACACCTCTGTTTCTACCCCTAACGGCCAAGCTCACAAAGACCACTGCGGCGCCTTCAAAAATTCATCCCTGGACTCCCTGAGAGCCCGCGTGGAGGAGCTGGAGCGAGAAGGATGGCGGAAAGATGAGGAGCTGTGTGACAAAGAGCAGCAGATCAAAGGTCTTCAGGAGCAACTGGCCAAGCAGACCCGGGTTCTGTCCGAGCTCAGTGAGGAACTGCAGAACAAATGCATCCAGCTCAATAAGCTGCAGGACGTTCTGAAGAGCGGCGCCCCGACTGGCTTCACATCGCGGCCGCCTTCTGTCAGAGCCAGCGGAAAGAGCAGTCCCAAGCTAAGCATCCGTATCAAGGAGACCATGAACAGAAGGAAAGGAGCTAAAGCCGGCGTGTCGGCAGAACCCACGTCCAGCAGTCTGCCCAAGTTCTCCTTTGAGAAGGCGCGGGTACCGAAGGATGCAAGGTGAGCTTCCTGTTTCCAGAGATGACAGGGACGAGCCCTGAGGCTCAGTCTGTACTGGCTCAGTGGGCAGTGAGTGGGAGGGAAGTGGGCAGCAAACAAACTGTGCAGAAATTAACGTTATTCAGGTCAGCAATGTCCAGCTGCTGGTTACCAGTTTAGGTTCAATCCGACCGAAACTGCAAAAACACAAAATCTTATCAGTCAAGCTCAGCAACAACTCAGTTCAATCAATCAATCAATCAATCAATCAATCAATCAATCAATCAATCAATCAATCAATCAATCAATCAATCAATGCACATTTCAGCAGCAAGGCATTTCAAAGTGCTTTACATCATAAACACAAAGTCATGCAACATAGAATAAACATTGTTACATATTACATTTCAAATACAATTCTAAACAGGTGTGTTTTTAGTTGAGATTGAAAGGAAGTCAGGGTTTCTGCTGTTTTACAGTTTTCTGGAAGTTTGTTCCAGATTTGTGATGCATAGAAGCTGAATGCTGCCTGTTTGGTTCTGGTTCTGGTTCTGGTCTGCTCTGTATCCCCAGAACCAGGTCAGAGCCTAGATTTTGGGTCTGGAGAACAGCTGAACTTGTAGTATTCTGTTCAGTATTTTGGTTTTAGTTTCTAGTGCAAACATCTTAGTTCACTTGAAATAAGACCCCGAGCTTGTTGCAAAAAGCCTTTTAAATGCATGATAAATTAAAATGACCATGATAATTTCCATTCTGAAAATTTATATTTTTTTTATTGATTACAGTTCAGTTCTAAATTAAAGACAGTCATTCTCCTGTCTCTGCAGGGACAAACTGCAGGTTCAATAGATGTGAACTCATCTATTGAACAAACTTAAAGCAGTTTATTTATGGTTTGGTTGTGTTTATGTCTCCATTTTATTCACAGTGTTTTATTGCTGTTCTTTATTTTGGACATTTAAAAGGCCTTTGAGATTTAGTGTTAAGTGCTCTTTACAAAATTAAAGTTTATTGCTCTTTAAGAGGGTGAATTTGCATCATCGTGACACTTGAAAATAGCGACTGGGACAATTTATTGAGCAGCAAAGTTTATTGTGACAGCTCTAATGCTTTCTGGCAGATTATTTTATTTATAATTGGTACTGTTTTTGTCAATATTAAGGAATTGTTGAGTTAAAAACAAACTCCTATTTTATGCTAAGTAAAATATTTGGACTAGAAGTTAAACCAAAAATACTTGGTAGGATTTTGTGTTTTTGCAGTGTTCTGCATTAATCCTCATTTCTATGTATAATGGAAATCTTAGCATTGAGGCTCAAGAAGCCTAGAGAAAAACTGAATCCTTACAGCTGATATTATCTGCCCATCTACATCCTCAGCTTTGAACATAAAACAGTCTACAGATGAATTCACAGTGCCGCACATGCATACGTCCAAGTTTGTCCCTGCAGAGACCGGAGCATGACACTGACTTTCTTTACCACTGAACTGTAATTTCATCGATTCTTGCTACTCTGGTGGGTTACTGTATGTCCCGCCCCAACAAAGGTTTATCGGATTTAGGAAGTAATCTGATCTCAGAAGGCTGCACATGGGAAGCAGGAGGCTACGGTGAGAAACACCCTGTGGTTCAGTCTGATATGATGCAGGAAGAAAATAAGACATTTACGTCCTTAATGTATTTATAGTCTTAATTTTGAACTGTGGGACTATTGCAAACAAATAGTTAATTAGCAGCAGCAGTCCAGTCTGTATCCTGAACTGATTAAAAGTAGCCCAGTGTTTTCTTTTCTTCAGCAGTTTATAAAAACCGGCATGCAAATCCGTAGGTTACATTGACATGGGAAAATCTGCCTTGGTTTTATTGCAAGAAGAAACCGAACAGGAAACTGACGTCCAAGTTTGGTCAGCATCAGTGCAAGTCAGTTTATCATAGTTGACATATTGGTAAGATGTTATTTGAAGCAGTGCATAAGACTGACATGACATTGTCATAAACGTGATGAATATGAAGAACTCTTCAGAAATGTTTACAATTGTCATGAAGTTTCATTCGATAATAGTAACACTTAATGTGAACTTAAGTTGCATTGAAAGTGTCAACTTTGCATCATTTGATAAATAATAAAATCTTCAATGCAACATTTTATTAACACTTACATTAAAAATGCCAGCTTTGCATTAAAAGTGGGATTATATACAGAATGACACTTTATGACAAAAGTCATAAACATTCAAGAATACTGCTTCATGTTTATGATGGTGTCATGTCAGTCTTATTTATGCATACCCCTTCAAATAAAGAGCTACTGAGATATTTTACTGCAACATTGGGAAACGTGTTTTTCTGGTGGTAGAATGGGACTTTATTATAAATCATAAAACATATTATTGTTGTGCATAAATACAAGTGGAGCCAATCTTTGTTATAAAAGGAACATGGAAGCACAGAGTGGATTTATAGAGAAATGTAACGCAAGACTGGACGGTTGTTCTTTGGAAAACAGACTCCAAAGTAGTGATGTTTGGAGAAGACCAAGCCATCCATCAGGCACGGTGGTGGAGAGGTGATGATTTGGGAGTGCTTTGCTGCCAGAGGAACTGGGAACAGTATCTCCTTTATTTACCGAATTATTCTCAAGTCAAATGAGTCCATCTGTCTGACAGCTGCAGCTTGACCCGAACCAGGTCATTACCGGAACAATGACCCCAAACTCGGCAATAAATCGACTGAGTGCTGGCAGCGGCCCAGTCAAAGTTCAAACCGTAACCTAATAATGATGCTGTACAGTGCAGAAACAAATGTGGGCCAAAGTGAATCCACAATAATGAAGCTGATAAAGTGGAACAGATGATCAGCTGAGTATTTTTAATAGATTGTAGAGCTAACGGTGGCTCTATAATCCTTTTTACACACAAATTTTCCACTTTTATTTTTTATTTTTCTGCCCATAGATTTAATAAAACTTACCTGCTAAAGAACAAATCCTTTTTGTTATCACCTATCTTCTCAGATCATTCGTTCTGCTGCTCCTGTTGCTTCATAGCTCTGTTAAAAACAAACATTCTGAAAGCTTTTTAGCACATTGTTTTTTTCTGTTGAACTTTGCACATCAGGCTTTTATGAGAACTGAAAGGTTAAAGACCCTCATATTACATAAACAGCGTCGGAGTAGCATCAGCTGCTGCAAGCCTGCTTTGCATTTCCAAATCAAAGGATAAATTACCTTTTGTCTTTCTGTTGCTTCTGCTGGATGATTGCTGTATGATTGAACAATGCATGCAGCGTCGCCCTCCTTATGCAATCATGTTTAAAACATATGTTGCTAATGATCCCTGTGTAGATTATATAACCACGAACTGAAGCACCCATTGAAACATCCTTCTGTTCTGTGAGTAATCGTGACAGAATAATGACTCTGCAAGGTAAGAGCGAAGGACACCAGGAAATCTACTCTGAAAAATAACATTTCTGACACACAGAAAGGTGAATATACACACCAACAACTAAAGGAAGTAACTTTCAAATGAACGTCTGTAAACTTTTACAGATGATGATTTTTATGTTTTCACCATTTTACTTTAAACGTATTCAGAGGCAGCAAATGGTTATGGCTCAGATTAAAAAAGTGAGTAATGAGGATGTGGGAGTGCTGGTGGCTCATTGTTGTACCAGTGTGGGCTGAGGTGGAGGAATAACAGAGGGAAATGATGAACATAAAAATTAGTTAGGTGATGATGATTTTTATTACATTTTTTTCACCCCACTTCTATCCAAAGTGCTGGGGTTGCTGTTTCAGAGTGGTGGCATCCAGACTTTTGGCTGTCTGAATCAAATTCAATATTCTTGCTTTGCTACTTTTTTTCTCCCCCCAATTGATTATTTTCTTTTCTTTATCAGCATATCACCTTCCTAAAATAATGAAATGTATTTAATTATGGTTTTTTTCTTTGCCTGAAGCAATGACTTATGAATGTGACAATGTTTTTATTTTTAGTTGAATATATATATTTTTAATAAAACAGGTTCAAAATGCATCTGTAAAAGTAGTATCTCAAGCCATTGGCAACAGCTAGAAGAAAATAATTTTATCTCTTTGCAATTAGCTAAAAGAGATGAACACAGAATTATGTGTTCTCAACAATATTCAGCATCCATTAATCAGACCTGCTTCATTTTTCTTTCAATGCATCAGGACTTAAACTTAAGAAATTTGGACTCTGCTAAAAGAACAGATAATCAGAGCAATGCTTCAAATTATGAAAATGATGTTGCATCTCCTAAACAATGAGGATCAGATGCATCTCCTAAACAATGAGGATCAGATTGAGTCGTTTAACCCTTTGTGTGTTTGACAGCGTAAAGAAGCTGCTGACAGACGCCCTGAACAAGAATCAGTACCTGAAGCGTCTGGAGCTGCAGCAGATCAAAGACATGGTGGAGTGCATGTATGAATGCAGCTACCAGCACGGCGAGTACGTCATCAAGCAGGGAGAACCTGGGAACCATCTGTTTGTCCTGGCAGGTAAGCTCACCTGGGTCTGTCATGATTACAAATCTGGATGGACGATAAATTGTCCCAGAAGTTATTGAGATAAATGATGTTATTGTGGTTTATAATATAATGGTAGTGGCATAATAACAATGCACATTCTTAAAAATCAATAAACTTTCAATTCTTTTGAACATTAAGCACTGGAAGATATCTTAAATATTCAAAATAAATAAACAAAATAATAAATAAAATTAATTCTGAAGTCTCTGTAAACAAAATTGTCCTTCAAAAAAGGGGGCTAGTTGAGACCAAAACATCTCCTAATTTTTTATCCAAGATCTCCAAATGAATTAATTCAACTTATATGAATGAATTAAATTTTTTTTTTGTTTGTTTTACACATTTGTTTGAGATCAGACCAAAGGTTGACGGACATTTTTAAATGTCTTTTTTTTCCAGATGGGAAGCTGGAAGTGTTTCAGCAAAACAAGCTGCTCACATCAATAACGGTGTGGACCGCGTTTGGGGAGTTGGCCATCCTGTACAACTGCACACGAACAGCATCAGTCCGAGGTAAAGATTTTTTCCTCGTTTTTTCTGCTCTGAACACTGATTGTCCTCTTAGTTGTATGGATTTCTTTAGGTTTTTAGGCTGAAGCTATCGCTGTCAAACAGACTGAGCCCTGTGGGGGTAGAGCTTGTGACAATGTGTCAGACATGATCAAACACAGTTTAACACCCGTCTGGATCAGCGTCCCGTTTCTTCCTCCCAGTCAGCCCAGGCTGCGTTCGCAGAGCCTGATGTCTGTGTCCCAGTTTGTGTCCCAGGATGAGTGGAACAAGCAGACCTGCCCGGTTTGAGACACAGAGCTCAGGAAAGTTTATCAAGTCACCTCCAAACATACAAGCATGGATTAAAAAGATTTGGTCATAAAAATAAAAATATATGCTAATCTAGTAGTAAGCAGATTTATATGCACTTCACAAAAAGATGGAGAATTATAGGTTTCCTTCCGTTGTTCACTATGTTCACGTTGGTGCCATCTAAAAGTATTTAAACCATTTCAGATTTTCCAGACGGCAACTTTGACATATTTTGTTGAGATTTTGTGTGATGGTTTTCAACATTTTCTCCTTTAAAATGAGTCAACAGTTTGTAAGAAACACCGTTCACTGTAACTAGAGCTGCGTCTCCACCATCTTCACACATCTGGAAGCTGAAATTTTCACCCTTTCTTCTTTGAAAAATAGTTTGCAAACAGTAGTTTTCAAGTCTTGCACAGATCTAAATTGGATATTGGTCTGAACTTTGACTGGGCCATTCTAAAAGATGAATATGCTTTGACATTAACTACTGGATTGTGGCACTGGCTGTATTTTTGGTTTCTCTGTCCTGCTGGGTAGTGAATGTGACAAAGATTAAGAAAGAGATCTGGATCCTTTTGAAGACCGTAGTTTCTGTGGGTTTGTGTTTGTTGTTGCTTTTCTGATTTTTCTTAATTCCCCTCAAATTTCTTCAGCTGCTCTGATCTTCCTTTATTATCTTTTTGATATTTACTCAGCTGCATCCATCTGTCCAGTTACCTGTTCTTGCATTTTTCTTTTAAACTGTTAAGTCATCTTGATACTCAGGGTTGCTTATTTTTAGTTTTCTGAATTTTGGTTCCAGAAAAACATCATTTCTTCTGCCACCGGTTTAATTCTGTGTTTGAATTCAGCAAAATGACATCAGCTGAGCTTCACTGCTGCGTCTGAGTGCAGTGCTAGTGCTAATGTTTACCTGGGGCCAAAACACACGGTCAGGGTACAATATGTGCAGCTGTGAGTTACTGTGTCGATCATCACTTCTCTATTCTGTCCCATTTTCAAGAGTCATTGATTTTAGAAACAAGTCACTACATCAATTTATCATATCCAACATGTATATGCATAACTTGTTCACATTACATTCCACTATTTGGTAAAAGTGTGCCACCTGGTGAAATAAACTGGTATCTGCAAGGAACCTTAAAGAAATTTATCACTGCAACCAGTGATCAATAAAAGAAATGCATGTCTAAAATTTGGACAAAGATAAGTGTCAAAAACATATTTTTCATTTCGTTTTTTGCCAGATGATAAAAATCAAAATATCTCTGGCATTAACATGCTGGCTTTATGGAGAGGTTGTGATTTCTTTCATTGCTTATTTTTTCATCTCTCTGAGATTAAATCTCTTCTTTCCAGGCTTGACTTGGAGTCAGTAATCCATGTTTCTATAATCTCCTGGTTGGATTATTGCAACTTTCTTTTAATGGGAATTAACCAGGTCATGCTTTCAACTAGTCTACCTGTTTATTTTTATGGTCTTAATGGCTTATCCCGTCACATTACGTGGTCAGATTCATTTTCCTCATTTTGTGTCTTAAAAACCTCAAAATTTGAACCTTAACTTTCTCTTAATTGCTCCGGATCTATCTCTGGAAAAAAAAAATCTCTGGGGAAAAAAATCCCTGCAGTTTTTGCCTTACTTTTCTTTTTTTTTTTTTTTTTAGAAGAAAGCCTGCAGCGTTTTTCCTCCAGTTGCGCTGCCTCCCGGTGGAGACATGAGGCAGGTTTTCATTTAGTTCAGCTTCCCTACCATTGATTTGTTAATTTCTCCTCACAACCAGCGCACTAAATGCTGTGTCAAAATCCTATTCTTTGGTCTAAAATACACAAAAATACTAACAGAGGTTCATTAACTTGAGATAAAGCCTTTAATCTCTGAAGTGTTGCTGCAATTTCAGCATCCAAGTAAATTAATTTTCAAGAATTTACCAAAATTAGATTTTTTTCCCCCTCTGCTATAAATAATGATGACTCTTTCCACAACTTTGAGATGAAGCTGCATTAAAGTGAACACAGAACAGGATATGCCAGGTCAGGCCAGCTGCTTTGTTTTAAATCATATCCTGAAATAAATCTTTAAAACACTTTGGATTCCTGAATGTGATCCGACTTCCTCTGAGCTCTTTTGCTGACTTCTGAGAGGTCTGGGAAACCGGGGATGATGAGGTGAGCTGCCTTTTCCGTGGTTGTGTTGACCTAAGCTTTACATGATACCCAAAGCTTTGCATCCTGATTGCGTTTTTCCTCCCTGCCTGAGTTGGGTGGTAACTGGTTACATTTACCCAAGTACACTATACTCCACTTTTTACTTTTACTCGGGTAATGTTATTACGAAGTATTTTACTCTTCTTACTTGAGTAAAATTTCTAAATTTTCAAACCCACTGAGTGAAAAACAAACATGTTTTTGTTACCTATATGAATTATCATTTTGTTTGGTCCTCAAAATAACAGAATTTTAAGGACCACGGTCTGACATAAATTTATTAGACCGTGATTAAGTTTAATCAGTGATACTTTTATAACATTTATGTCAGATCATGATTTCTTGGTTAATGTCTTATCCACAACCCATTAAATAAAGTAATTTCTTGGACAGTTACTTTTACTTCAGTGAAAATATGTTGCTAGTCTTTTTTGGGTTCACTACCTGCCTCTGCTCCCTTTTCTTGAGTAAAATGCCACTTGCAGTGTCGGGTCTGTTTGAGGTTTGTATATTTAATCAACTACTGGTGAGCGGCAGACCTTCAGGAAGGAGCTCTGCGGCGACCTCAAGTGTTCCAGGTGAACTGGAAAGACTTTGACAGTTTGGCTCGGCAGTGGAACGCTATCTCTGCTACTGACTCATGTCAAACTGTCACAGCCACTTCCTCCTTCCTGAGGCAAATTGTGCTTCTTTTTATAGCGGTGAACAAAGTGAGGACGTGGGCTTTGGATCGGGAGGCGTTCCAGAACATTATGAGGAGGACGGCTGAGACGCGGCACGAACAGTACCGCAACTTCCTGCGAAGGTCAGACTTGAGGCTGAACCAAAGAGCGAATGTGATCTGGAAAATGGTCAGATAAAATTATGAAAATAAATGCATACTTTTCATCTCACCTTCAAAACGTGTGACTCAAGGTTTTGGAACAAGGGTGTCCAAAGTGCGGCCCAGGAACCATTTGTGGCCCTTGTAGTGATTTTGACACTCATTGACACAGATACAAATCTGGCCTCTCCATCACAAGTGCTGACGCAAACTTCTTAAATTTATTTATTTTTAAACATGGACATTTCTGAGTTGCAAAAGTTGAGATTAAATAGTTAATTCCAGCAAATCTTTGATATTTCAAACTCAAAAATGTTAGAGTGTTCAGAGCTTTTGGTGGAAATGTACTCTTTTTTTCCTATCTATAATGTCTCTGTGATACATTCCAGTTTGTATTAAAACAAACCCTGACCATCCTGAAGTTAACAACATTCCTGCTCATGATTTGTGCATGTGCACATTTGACTTGTTCATCTGTTTGTTAAATTATAGTTTTGGTACAAACTATAAAAGTTTAGTTAGTGGCCTTAACTTATTGTTTCTCCTGTTCTTTCTTTTGTTCAGTGTTTCACTCTTGGCTAATCTACCCGACGACAAGCTAAGCAAAATAGTCGACTGCCTGGAGGTGGTAAGTTATTCTGTCAAACTATCTCCATTTCTATTTGAAGGACAATTAGACTTTTACATGAATTGCACAAGTCTTGGCAGCTCCTAGGAGCCAGGAGCACTGCAGATAGCGGCTGTCAAAATATCATTACCGTTTGGCCATATACCATTACTGCATGTCAGCAAATTCATTCTAGCTCCAGTCTGCAAGAACTCCCAGATTTATCTTGTTGATGAACGGGGCCGATATTATTCCTGTCATCGCCGGGTGCTGTATGTTGTTACCCTAATTATTTGACTAAGGCCCCAGAAAGTGTTTACTCAAATGGGGGACGAGTGATTTCTTAAAGATGTGCCAGGGACAGGCTTTTGGTGTGAGATGACACAAGTGTGTGAAATTGTGTGTGTAGCTGTGAAACAAGCAGGAGACTGAGGGTGACTCCAGCTCTTCCTGCAGAAGCATTGTATTTCATCTACAGAAAGGGAAAAAAGCTGAGCAGAACCTGCCAGCATCGGGGCAAAAAACTGCTTTCTCAGCCTCTTTTCGCAGTGCAAATTTCAAGGACATTTGTTACGTTGGCTGATTATGCTGCTACTCTCAAGTGTGGGTGAAATTCTTTCTGCCGGCCCGGGGGGCCAGTTGTGACCCGAGAAAGGAGCAGATGTTCAGAGAATCACTACAGATTTGTGAAAAACTTTTTTTTTTTTTTCTTTTTTGTAGAATGGAGTTTGGTGGGATTTACAGGCATCTGTTTGTATGAACAGGAACAGATCACCATTTGAGAAATGTCATATGAACTCTGGAAGTTAGTTTGAATTCCTGGAACTGAATCTGAAAAGTTGACGTGTTTCCAAAGCGTGTTGAGCTGATTGGAAGTAAAAACAGGATCTATTGTAAACGCGACGCGTCAGCTGAGGCCAGAATATGTGAGCGAAAAGTAAAATATTCAAGAAAAAAATCTGAATTTCTAGACCTGAATCTGTACAAAGAAACAGAATGTAGAGAAAAAATTTAGATTTACAGACTTGATTCTATCCATCCATTTATTTATCATTTAATCCATCCATCCTCTAATTTCTACTCACCATCATCATAAATTATGTCCAACTTAAGCTGAACTTTATGGACGACAATTCTTCTTTACTTTACATATTCAGAGACAAACTTGATTATTATGTTTCTCTCATTGTTGCATTTTTAGACTTTACCCTTATCACAGTGTATGGCTGGAAATATTTGTTCGATTTTTACAAATTGCTCCTGTGCAAAGAGTTTTCTAACAACTACGTTTTATCTGTTTTGAAACAAAGATACCCTTGCTGAACATCTTTACACAGACTGCAGTTAAAAACCAGTCCACTTGGGGGCTGCGGAGGACTGGTGTCGTCTTCAAACTGGTTTACTCCCATTACGGTGCCGCTAGTAGAGACCAAGTGCTGCTGTTGAAACATAGGCTGCGGCTGATCGATGGAAAGCCAATTAGAATAACTGAGCTGGAGGCAAACCTAATATAGACACAGAAAGCGAAGAGTGAGTGTCGATGTTCACCACTGACATAACCAAACCTAATAAGTGGAACTCAAATGTTCAGATTAAACAGAACGGTTGGACCTATATTAGGAAAAGAGACACTTTTGAGTTTCTTGTGGGCCATGTTCCTTTTTTTTCCCTTTCTGGAAACATTTAGCTCATTTAAAATTCTGACTTTGCGGTCTGTTATAACAAACCCAGGACACAGTTCAGATGCTGTCCATCCACTGAACAGCTTCTGCATCATCCGGACAGGCTCTATAAACAAAACCTTGGCATGTTGTCTCCGCTGTCACAGCCTGGCGTTAAACTAGGCTCTCCTGAAGCGTAAACGGGAGGTAAACAATCGTGGACGCCCAAGGAAAATGCCACTTGTGTCAAGAGCATTGACAGTAAACACCAGGGAATGTTTACACAGAGTTGCTGTGATTTGGTTTCGACAATGTCCCCTTAAAGTCAAAAGGAATGCAGCGGTGGACCGTGGCCACACCTGCTTGGTCCCAGATTATACTTCATCCTGCTGACCTTCTTTGCACATCTTCATCTCTTCTAGAAGTTTTACACTGGCTCTCACTGGCTCTCAAAAATAAAGGCACCAGTTTCTGCAAAAAGAGCTGACTGACACAACAGAAGAGGAATACATCTTACGTGTCGCTTCGATTTATGAGTGACATTAAGACGACTGAAGAATGACTTTACTTCTGTTCCAGCTCTTGTGCGTTACAAAAGGCAGCTGTGTCTCAACTTATCAGAATATAAAATGCAATTTTAAATTACTATTTATTAGAATACTTTAAACATTTTTTCTATTTGTGCTACTTGTGATATTTCATGTCTCTTCTTGATTTTGGTTGGTTTACAGTTAAGTAGTCCTGGGGTAGATGACTTAATATGGTCAGGTTAGGCTATGTATGAAGAGGACAAGTTCTAAAAAGCCTTGGTTCTGACTGCTGTCCCACCCCGACCCATTTTCACCTCAGGAATACTATGACAAAGGAGAATACGTCATCCGACAGGGAGAGGAGGGCAGCACCTTCTACATCATCGCCCAGGGAAAGGTAAATAACGAACACCGAATGAAATCAAGGCGATATCGTAACAGGTTTTCATTGAAGTCTGACCAACAGAATCTGGTTTTGACTAATCTAAGTTTTCTTTCTCTACTAAAACGCACACAATTGAGTTGGAGAAGAGATGCAGCGAAGGGTTGCAGGAAAGTTGCTGAATGCAGATCCGCAAATCTGAAACAAACTTCCAGTAAACTGCAAAAGAGCCGAAACACTGAATTTCTTTGAATCAAGGCTCAAAGCTCACCTGTTCAGACTTTGATTTGATTAGCAGTTGCTGGAACATTGATCAACATATTTGTTTTTTTTTGAGAATTTTGTAAAACAATTATGTTTGTGTTTCATAATTGATGTCTGCAGAATATAAACTATTTGAACAACCTTGTTGCTGAAATGTGCAATACAAATTAACTTGACTTGAACTCAGAACCTGCATTGAACAATTTGTTATTTAAGAAGTTTGCAGGCTAGAAAAAATATTTTATTTTTGAAGTGTTTGAAGAAGCACATCTGTGTTTTTCCTCTAGAATTTAACCTGCTGATTAACATATAGAGGAAAACAAGAAAATTTGGATAAATAACATTGAAATGATCAATATATGATTAAAAAAACATATACTGTTGCTACATCAGACATAACTTGCAATAAAAATGTTATATCTAGTGGGATATTTTAATTGTAGTACGTTTTCCTCCTGGTTTTGTCCTTGGAGCTGTGTGAGAGTGTCGGGCGGTTCAGGTCTGTGACCCGCTCTCCTTCTCCATCTGATCACTCAGCAACCCGATAACGACGTGGAAAGGTTGGAGGTGGCCACAAGGGAATTTTTTAAAATGCCTTAATAGGTCCATATGAGACGGCAGACCCAACCAGCCTGGGTGAGAGGTCTGTTGTTTGGAATGAAGGGGGGCTAATACAGGAAATGGCTCCTCCGCCCCCTGTGGTGCCCTCTGACCAGGGAAGGAATAAACCCCGAGAGTGGCTGCCAACAGGAAAAACAAGGGAAGTGAGGGGTCACAGAGGTCAAATGAGACTCTTAGCTAAAACACACTCATGGCCATTAAGGCTGTGATGTCATTGTGGTGCATCTTAAATGGTAATGATGCCAAGAGTGGGATGTTTGACCTCAACCACGGTGGGCCGCTGGGTTTTTACAGCCTACCAAATTATGGAGAAGTTTGTCAACGCTGAAAGCGTTGCTGTCGAATACCTTCAGACTGCAATCAGAAAAGCAACAAACAAAGAAAGAAACCCTCTACTGAGAGAGATCCCCTTAAAATTAATACGTTTATTTGGATAGGCGCGCATCAGTGCCGCTTAATCATGCATGTTCCCATCATGGTTGGATTACTGTTATTGAAAATGTCACTTTTCAAGTTTTAACACAATTTGTTTTGTTTTTACGATGCATGTAAAAATAGTCAGAGAAAGTATAAAGCACCTGTAAAAGCTTAACCAGAGACTTAAATCTGCCTCCTGCAGGTGAAGGTGACCCAAACCACAGAGGCCTACAAACTGCCACAGACCATAAACACGCTGCAGAAGGGGGACTACTTTGGAGAAAAAGCACTCATAAGGTAAACTTGCTACATAATAAGAACTTAATAAACTTTGTTTTATTACTGTAACCTACAGATACCAGAAGTTGGTATATTTAATTTGGCTGACTGTTGCATAATGTAAAAAAAAAAAAAAACTATTCACTGCAGGATTTGATAAAAGAGGATTTTGATTAAGATGGATAAAAGAATAAAACAACAAACGATTCCAGGGGCATGCTTTTATTTTTAGTAGGTCGGATCAGTATAATGATATCTGTGCAAGTTTGTGTAAATAAAAAATTAAGGAGGTCCAGCTCATTCAACATGTTGCTCCCAGAGTTTTGACCAAAAACAGAAAAAAAAGATCACCGCCTGAGTGGATCTTTGTTTGTCAAAGAATAGAATTTTAAAAGTTGCTTTAATTTATTACTACAGAATGTTTTTAAGTCAGACAATTTTTTGAGCTGCATATTTTTGAATGACATTTAAACAGAAATGGAGTTCTTACATTTGTATGCATGCTTACATTTTTGTTGTGTTTTCCAGTGATGACGTCAGGTCAGCCAATATCATTGCCGATGAGAACGGGGTGGAGTGCCTTGTAATCGACAGAGAGTGAGTAGCTCTAGAGGTTGTGAAACGAACACAAAGAAATTTGCTTTGTAGATTCAAGAAAAATGCCAAATACCAGCTGAAAATGAAACGGAGTGAGATGTGAATAAAAAACTGAAAAAATTTCTGTCATTCTAGTAGTGCATCTCTTAACGTGCAGTTGTTGCTTTGGTAGGACATTTGATCATACTGTGGGTAACTTCAATGAGCTGCAGAAACACCTCGAAGGCTATGTGGCGACACTTGATCGGGACGACAAGAAGAGACATGCAAAGTAGGTCCAATGTCTAAAGCTTAGATCAGCTACTGGAATGAAAATTGCACAAATAAAAGAAGTGATAACTTGGACCAGTTGGATTAAATGCAACCCTTCTGTCTGTCTCTATCATCCAGAAAGTCTGTGTCTCGGCACCAGAGCCAGCCGCTGTCATCTGATTTCGTCCAGCTGAAGGAAATGTTGTCAGTCTTCTCTTCATCCAGGCCCTTTGATCACCTTGAAGTCGTCGCTACTCTGGGGGTTGGCGGGTTTGGACGTGTAGAACTGGTAAGCGCTGAACTGATCTGACTGTGGGCCAAGTTAACGAACGACTGCGCTGCAGTCGTCCAGCATGTGGAAGCTCGCATTCATAAGGTTAACCCTGACCCTGCCCTTAAATGTTGAGTTTATTTAGAAAGTTCCCAAAAGTCAGTTTGCTTCATACTGATTTGCCTTTGAAAGGTCATAAATATTCATGCTGATGTCATTACACTTGTACAGTTTAGTTTGTCAAATCTTTTTATTTTATTATGTATTGATACAAGTATTAATTAATTAGAAAAAAAGAACATATACCATTTTTAAAAAATTAATGTAAAAACTACAGGATACTGGAACATTTAATTTAATTTACAATCTGGTTGTGTTTAGGCAAGAGATCAGTTATTATTAACTTTTATTAATCATACCCTTCTGCTTTGAGAAATGAATGAGCTCTTAGACATTCGTCTCTGTAACCATCATGTGCAGGTGAAGGTGAAGGGTGAAGACATGACCTTTGCTCTGAAGATGATCAAAAAGAAGCATGTTGTGGACAACAGGCAGGAAGAACACATCCACTCGGAGAGGAGAATCCTCGCTGAAGCTCGCTCGGCTTTCGTTGTCAAGTGAGCGCCTCTGCTGGGCCTCGAAATGCATTTCAAATTTTCATCTTCCGTGCAGAAACTGTCCAGTGCAGATTAGTTTTAGATGAGATCACAGTCAAGGCTCTGAGCAGATTACATATTTTGTGTGGTGTAGAATGGCAAAGAATATTGAGATGTCTGCTGAGAAAAATATTGGAACAGGAGATTATAAAGATTATGTAAAAAACAGACATGATGCAGCTTTTTTTAGCCTTTTTTGTCACACAACTTCTTAATCGTTTTATTTTTTTTAAGCATCTTGTGTTTTCTTTTTCTAAATTTGTGTGTGTGAAAGATTTTCTTTTCTTGTTTGCAGTGAAAACATGTAGACACATAATTATCAACCTTCCTAAATATAGCGTCCTTTGAATTACTGCCAAAATCAAACAAATTGTTACGATAGCTATTTTACTTACAATTTTACAAGTGGGATTGAGTTGATCTTAATCAAAGCTCAGTGTTTTTGCTCATTACTTTATCTTTATTTCTCCAGACTGTATCGCACCTTCAGGGATAATAAATATGTCTACATGCTGCTGGAGGCCTGTTTAGGTGGAGAGATCTGGAGCCTCCTCAGAGACAGGTGAGAAAACTCCATATTTTATAACATTTCTTCAAAGTCGCCTGCTTTAAGTCATTTTGGTGCAGTGAAATCCTGAACCACCTAAAAACAGGTTCTGCCATCATAAATGGTTTGTATATTTTTGGAGCTGTTCTAACTTTGGCTCTTTTGTCTTCAGGGGAAGCTTCGATGAGCCCACTGCCAAATTCTGTGTCGGTTGTGTGACGGAGGCTTTTGAGTATCTCCATCGTAAGGGTGTCCTCTACAGAGATCTGAAGCCTGAGAACCTGATGCTGGATTCAGAGGGATACATAAAGCTGGTAATTAGTTCTCACTTTATTTCAGTCATCTTAATTTTTGTCCCAAAATGGAAAAAATTAAGATGACTTTCTGGACGACTTTCTGTCCTCCAGAAAGATGATGCACATCATCATCCCCTGTGTTGATCCTCAGTGGTGGCAGCATCATGCCAGAGTTGAGACAAAGATGAATGGAGCTAAATACTGGTTAATCGTTGACAAAAACTTGCGATAAAGAGTCCAAACTTAGAGCCAGAGCTATAACGACATAATATATCAAAGTATTTCTGTGTTTGAATGGCCTAGTCAAAGTCCAGGTCTTGAATACAGTTGGGAATTTGTGGTGGGACATGAAGATCAATAGTATGAGTCACTTTTTTACTATATTTTAAAAAAAAGTTAGACATATTTATCAGTTAAGAGTTTTGCACGTTGTGAAAAAGTTAACTCGCCTCTTTCATATGAATGACAGAAGTTGCAGCACAATGGTTGAAAAAATGTCAGTGGTTTTAGGCTTAAATTGCTAAACGCTTAATTGTTGTCACCTAAAAATAATTTTTTTTAATTCTCATCATTTCTGAGACTGAAGTTTCAAAGGAAATGTTTTATCATCATCTGGATTAAAGGCCTTGTTATTGAGGATCAGAAGAGTAACAGAGTGAAATCCTGCTGTTTTTTAAAATCTGACTGACGATTATTACCTTTCCAGGTTGACTTTGGTTTTGCCAAAAAGATCCGATCTGGCCAGAAGACTTGGACCTTCTGTGGCACCCCTGAGTACGTGGCCCCAGAGATCATACTCAACAAGGGCCACAACTTCAGCGTGGACTTCTGGGCCCTCGGCATCCTGGTGTTTGAGCTGCTAACTGGGAGGTCAGTGCACGCGCTCGGGTCACGGTGTTTGCTGACGGCCACAGAAACGATTACCATCCGTTTCTCTGGAACCCCACAGTCCCCCGTTCTCAGGAAGCGACCAGATGATGACGTATACGTTCATCTTGAAGGGAATAGAGAAGATGGATTTCCCCAAGAAGATCACCAGAAGATCAGAGGACCTCATCCGCAAACTGTGCAGGTGGGCAGGATGAGTTATGGTGAACATCGTGATTCTTTCAGTTTGAGCTCAATGATTTGCTGTGGCTTCACATTACGTTGCAGGAGGAACCCTGCGGAGCGACTGGGCAACCTTAAAAATGGAATCACTGACATCAAGAAGCACAGGTGAGAAGGCACTGACCCAGTTTAGTGCTAATCTGATTAGATAATTGCTGTTTAGTGCAAGAACACCTTACCAAATATTACCAAGTTCACAGGAAATAAGACTAAAATAACTTTCAAGTAACTTTACATCAAGATATAGGAGCTTGTTTTAAATAACTAACTTCTTAATATTAATTTAAAAGTATCACTGGAAGATTAATTTCACTTAAGGCATGGGGAAAATGTTTGTTAAAATTGAAATAATCTGCCAATACTTTTAATCAATGTTGCAACCCTGTGCTGAAAAGTTACTTGTAAGTTAGTTTTGTTTCATTTTAATTAAAATAAGATAATAACTAGAAACTAGACCACTTGCTAAGGTTTTGTGTTTTTGCAGTGCATGGCTTAATGAAAATAATTTCTTACTCACTTAGCGGTTGTTCTTTAAAACAAAAAACAGATGCAAGGAAATTTGTAAAGATGCCACTCAAAGTAATAAAAATTCAAGGTATTTTTTAAAATGATACTGATTTCATTACATTAAATCAGTTTGTACTTTTGATAGGATTTGTATTTATTTAATCACATCAAATTAACAAAAAAGTTGGCGATCAAACATTAATTTTTAATATACGGCTGCGTTAGTTCTTGCTTAAATAAAATTAAACTAACTTCCAAGGATTTTTTAAAATAACTTGTCTTAAGGTGGTTTAATGGATTCAACTGGGAGGGACTAAAGGCGAGAACATTACCATCACCACTAAGAAGAGAAGTAAGTATTAATTTCTATTTAAACATGAATGTTATGGCACTAGTGAGATCCTCGTTGTTTGATCCTAATCTAAAGTAACAGTTTAACTATTGCAAACAAATAAATCAAAAATGTTTCTTTGTTCTTTCGTCTTTCATTAGTTCAGACATTCCTTCCGTTACGTTTCCCTCAGCTTCTCAGTTTCTTGTTTCATCCTCTTGATATTTCCAATCCCAGTAATCCAATCACTTTTCTATATATGCATCTGTATAAATACACACGTGTTTCCTGCTTACTTTGTCTCAGGAGTCCAGATACTTTATAAGGAAATCCTTTTCTTCTGTTTCTCCTCTTCAGCTCAGCGGACCGACTGACTACAGTTACTTTGATAAATACCCTCCAGATGAGGACAGTCCTCCTGATGAGCTGTCTGGTTGGGACATGGACTTTTGAGTGTTTCTTTGTGGCGACTCTGCTGCTCTCGGTGATTTCTAAACCCGACTGCATCAAACACAGAGACATGCCAGACAGAGATTGTAACGGCATTTAAAATAATACCCATCTTTAAAAATCTTTATAGGTGGCCCTTTATGCTTCCTTGAACAGGTTAGGACAAGTTTATGGTCTATAAAAAACATGTTCATTATAGTTTTGCACAAAATCATTCTTAGTTAATGAGATTTAATCTGCTCAGTTGGTGATATATATTTTGAGCTCCTTTCAGAATAAGCCTTTTTAGGGCCTCTTGTTACTTTAAGACCAAATAAGCTGCTGCTGGCCACACCCACAAACTCGACTCACAAGTTAAAAATGGCTACAAACAGATGTGCAATTATACAATTGTACATGTTTGAAAAGCAGAAGTGAAGCCTCCTGCACAACCAACAAGAATGCAGTAAGTGGTTTCTGGTTGGAACGTCAACGACAAGACATTTGTTTTTTCCAGTAGCCATTGTACAGCAGTAAAACCAATGATTTTTTTTTCTAAAGTTTCACAGATCATGAAAATATTTTTGGGTAACTGTGAGATTGAGCTTTGTGTTCTTTTGGGTCTACAGAAGTTCTGGCCATGAAACTTTTAAATTGAGTCCATTTTTTCCCCAGTTTTTATTCTTGAATCATGAACTCTGACTGTAAAGGAAGCGAGAGACCTGCAGAGCTTTAGATATTCTTGGTTCTTTTTGGAACCTCCTGAGTTGTTGATGATCTCTCGGAGTAATTTTGGTAGATCAGCCATTCATTGGAAGGTTTATCATGTTTTCTCTTTCATTAATCAACGGCTCTCACCTTAGTTCACTGAAATCCCAAAGCCTCAGTGATTTATATTTTTTTTTTTCATTTTGTTTTTTTTATTGTTCTTGAATTATTTTAGATGATGTTGCTTCATATTGTCAGATAAGTTTTAAGTTATGTATTTATTTTATGGTTCAGGCATTACTTTGAGTTTGGCGAGTGAAACTGAACATTAAAACTGAGATTCATCAGTTTCTTCTCGTCTCTGTATTTACTCTAGTTTTCTTTGACGGATATTAAATTTAGTTTGCTGATCTGAAACGAATAAATACTTTCACAGCCCTGTATGCGTGAACAAATGTTAAGCTGCAACTAACCTGTGAAATTCCTCTCAACAAGCTGAGCTGGAAAACTCTGCTGTTAAGAAACATCAAGTGTCCCTTGTTTTAACCGCATTATCCTCACGCCTCCCAACAAGACTTTGACAGGTTTAAAAACACAAACACCTCCTCCGCCAAAATTATAAAGTGTGAGCGTCTCGTGGCGATGTGCCTGAGCTAAGAAATATTCACAAATACCCAAGTAAACGCTGCGGTGGTGGGCCTCTTCAGGCGGGTCGCGCTCCATCTGCGGTGTTGATAATCTGAAACGCAAGGAGGCCGAGGAGCACAGACTCAATATGGCCTGGATTTTCCTTTTGTGTGTACATACGTGTAAGTTTGTAAATCTCTGTTTTCCTTCACATAGCCCCTGAAAAAAATTGTATCTTTTTTTTTTTATTTTTATTTATTTGTCTTTTGGATATTGAATGTCTGCGAGCAGGATGTACAGTGTGTGAATACCTGCAAAGAGTTTTCTGTTGTTAATAGTTATGATAAAATAATCATGTTAAAACGTTTTGAAGAGAACAGTTTGCATTTGCTTTTTGTGACTAGCAACAACCAGACATGTTAAAGCACCGAAGGATCTATGAATTTAGACAGAAATCATTGTTATACCTGCAGCACATTTACGACTTCAGTGGCCTATTTTAGTTCAGTTGATTCTTCTCCAAGGTGTCAAAACACAAAGTCTTAACACAGAAAATATTCAATAAAATGTTGAGGGCCCCCTAGTTTTATTTTATTTTAATATTTAACTTATTTTACTATGTGTGTTATAGGTGGACAAGTTGGGTAATTTCTCCACTCGCTTGGGGAAATTATATGGCAAGCTTACAATTACAATCATGGATGTAAATTTGACCCTTTAGAGATTTTACTGAGCTCCACATGCATATCAATAACGCCTACATATCACTAAAGCAATTAATGTATCCTGAAGGATATTTCTACATTCATTTATCAATCTGTAATCGTAAGCATGTGATCATTTGCTTACGAGGGTCATAAAATGACCTTCACATATCAAAATTAATCCAGTTTTTAAACTTTGTAAAAATCCATCATTTCAAAGCTTTTTAAAAATTATTTTGAAATGATTCCATTTTAATTCAGATAAACAATAACACCCCAGTGCTAGGATAAGAATTGATTAATTTTATGACCCAACCAGGCCATAGCAGCTGTTCATAGGTTCATGTTTCAGGTCTGCATGTTAGTTAATGTTATACTTTCAATGCCAAAACACTGAGATCTGAGCCACTAGTGACTGGACAAAGCGCCAAGTTTACTTTCCTTTATGTAAAAGTCAACTTTTTAAGGTGCAAACTTTTTTTTTTTAACTGCATTGTTGAGGAAAATGAAAACTTGGTGTTGACAGACCTCATTCACAAAAAAACATTGACAGATGTGAAACTTGCATAATTTTATTCATTTCTTTGAATGCTTTGGAAGAAGGGTGGGAGCTTTTCGCAGGGAGACCTTTTAAACAGTTCATCACACTTTGTTTCATATCAGTAGTGACATATATGTCCATCAGCGACTAGAACGACCATCAGTGCTCCCCAGCTTCAGTTCTCCTTCTCCAAGCCACACCATTACAAGATATGCAACATCCAGTAAATAAATAGATGCATGGTAAAGTCTTTTCCATATACAAATATATTTTATGAAGCTTATTGTACAAGCATTTATTTTTTTTTATCTAACATTTACAAGATTCTTTGAGCAGTAAAGATGAATAAGCTCTTAAAAACAGATTAAATGCTGCCCTGTTTTTCTTTATTCGTTTACTAAATGCACTCCAGACTGTCAGAGCTGCATAAAAACCTTTTCAGCCTCGCTCTGCAGCATGCGCCCGATCGCCTTTGGAGGAACACTTTGAAGATGTGTCAGTACAAATTACAAAAAGTCAGACAATCTGCAAAATAAACGTCTCTTAATATTAAAATAGTGAAATATTAATTTCAAAAATAAACTCCGCTGGTGATCATAGCTATAAAAACAAGCACTACGGTCACCCTGTGCAGGCTAACCAATTTGTACCACATAAATACCCTCAGCTGCTCGTTGCGCATCATCAAGCAAGGTCGGCTATCTGAATGACCGAGTTGCTCCAAATTAAGTCAAAGAAGTTGAACTTCACCCTTTTAAGACAGGAAGGCTTTAAACAGTGAGATATATACAAAAAATGTACAAGAATGTAAAAAATAAAGAAGGTTTCTGTTGTATTGAAGGCTGTCTGAGCTGAATAAATATTTTTTTCACGTTTTTAATATGAACTGTAAACTTGATTAAACAACAAACCCCTGAATAATTAATGTCAAATCTTAACTGAATTATTCTAGCATGTAATCCACAAAATTAGGTCTGATCTCCTTGGTGACTGTATAAAACTGGATAAAAACTCCTCAACCAGTTTATGCTAAAGTTGACTTTTAGCATAACAAGGTCAACTTCAGGCTCTACGTGCTCAAGAGCACAAAGATCAAAGCTGTGCATAAAAGATAGACACTAACTGCAAAATTATCAATTTATGGTGCAATACCAATGATTGGCACTAGTCGGTTCAAGTCCGTTCAAAGAACTCACCAGATCCTAACTAAAATTATTCCCGTGAATTGCTGTGACATCAAAAAGAATATTGGTATTTTTTATACGTTTATTTTTCATTTTCTGCGTTGAAAAATGTTCAACTATTGTCCAGCTATCGTCACGGCTAACTCTGGAAAAACAAAAAACAAGATCGTGGTGATCACTTCTCATAAAGGCTCCAGGTTCCTTCATGGGAAACTAAACTAAAACCTGCGCAGTTTTTTAAATTTATTTTTTCTATAACAATCAGCATTTAAAAAATGATATGTAAAGCAAAACCGATTTAGAGGAGCCCTGTATATTGACAGAATACTAATTTTGTCGAGAAAAAACATCCACTAAGGCACTTTATCAAGCTTATTCTTAATAAACATTCTAAATTATAGCAAGGACAACATGTACAGTTTAGGATACAAAAAATAGCTGGATTACAATGTGTGAAAGCAAACAAATATTTTGAGTATTAAATTAGGCTTTAAGAATTATTATTTGTGATGTATTTTTTTGATCTAAGAAACGTTTGAAACATCTCATTAAGAATTAGGTAAATTATTTATTTCCAGAGGAGTTATTTTTTTTCCTCATTTGCTGTTTCCCCTTAAAAGATTATTCTGGATTTTAAAGTGGGGTTTTGTTCAAAGTGTACGTGTAGTAAATATCTTGTGTGCAGCGTACAGAGTCCTCATTTTTGTGAACTAGAGAGCAGTCGTCTCGCTAACAGCTGGGCAGCAATAATGCTAAAAATGCAAATGCAAAATTACAAGTACTGCTTTTATCGCTTTGCACCACTATTGCATTAAAATTTGACATTTTTTCTAAAATATAATTCATTCACAATATTTAACACGTTTGCTGTAATTTAACAGGGCAGAGGCTGTATGTTTTCCTTAAACGGAATGCTAATCTTTGATCAGAGTAAAAATGCTAAGAGAGGAATATGTAGCAGGTAAGATATTTACTACTCATAAACTGTCAATAGAACACCACTTTTAATAATCTGAACTAATTGCTGAAGTTCAGAATGACTTCTCGCATTCGGAAGTAATTTATCTTCTGAAAGCTCTGATTAATATAAAATACAGACAAAATGTAGCTTACTCTCCTGCATGAAGGGAAATCTTAAAAATAAAAAAAACAAACAATGGAGTCGTAATCTGAACACAAACATGTAAATCTACTGTCTATACATCACAACTCTGGGTTTGGAACCTAATATAATCCCCTATAGCAGCCAAGCCCATAATTATGCAAAATCCTCTCTTATAGCGAATAACACAGTGATAGTACAGACATAAATACATACACAGAGTAACAAATACCATGCAAGTGCGAGCAGAGGTGGCTTTTAAGGAACAAGAGAAGTTCATGCGATGAAGGAGAGGTTGATGAGGGAACACCGTCCCTCAGCCCACAGCTGTCGGCTCCAGCTGAGTCGGTTTTCCTTAATGATTCATATTTTCCCTTCAGTTTCTGTCTCTGTTGGTGTGATTTGTTCCACCCTGCTGTCACCCAACGGATCACAGATGAGAAATATGCAGATAAAGAGTCGGTCAGCGCCGAGGCGTGCTAATGTCATCCATTTCTTCCCCTCAGCTGACCAGTGTCCTCCTCACCTGGAACAACAGGTGGCGCTCTCCTCCAGTGCAAACGGGAAGCTGTGCTCAGTGGATGTTCAGTTTCAGGTTGCAGGGTGTTTGTTTCTGTGTGACACGAGGAGCAGACAGGAAGCGGAACTATCGGCAGGCGCAGGAGTCGACGGTCATGTTGGGGTAGACTTTCAGCACCACGTTCTTGTCCTCATCGAAGAAGAGGATGCTGAGGGAGGACATCTTCTCTGGGACGCAGCAAGGCTCGGGGATGCCGGGTACGACGCCTACGGCCCGAACGATGCTCTGGATGGTGGCGTGGTTCGAGGGCTTCAGAGCCTGAAGGGAAAAAAAACAAAAACAAAACTAAGATTGTGGAGCCTTAGCTTTAGGTGCTAACACTAACTGCAACAACTCATGGTTTTCTGCTAAATATAATTGTGGCATTGAGATTATTAATCTCATCTGTTTCTTCACAGCCATCTTTAGGTCCCACCACAGTAATTTAGCCAAGGCTGAGGTCTGGACTTTGATTGGACTATTCTTTTGTAAATGTTTGGGACCAGTAGCTGCTTTTCCATTACAAATTTGCACAAAACTTTCATATTCTGCGAAAGTCTAAAATTTTGCCATTTAATTTCAATGAAATATGAAATGCAATAAAAAAATATAAGTAATTACAAAACAAGGCCCGCCATCATCCCCTAAATACTTCCTGTTGTCTTGCGGTGGTTAGCTCAAGCAGTAACATCTGGTTGTTGATCATATGACTTGTGAAATGGAAGAAAAAATATTTCCTTTGCAGTTCTGCAAAAAAAGCCAACTTTGATATGGCCAAAAAAAAAAAAAACACCATCCCAGTGACAAAACTTATTCAAAAAACAATAAAAATAAAAAATAGCTGTTTTCATAAGGCACCTATTGTTCTGTTGATGTCCAAGCTTGGACATCAACAGGACATATGTTTGATTCTAGAATATAGTACAGAGGAGATTGTGGTTGACTTGACGAGCGACACATCTACAGATCTATCTACAAATAATCTCCACAGTTTGTTGGGCATTTCTGTTACTGTTCTGTCCAGACATAGTGCTGTGCTCCAATCTACTGTTTTGTCTTTTAGCCCATCAGATGTTTACACACCTGACAATCGATAGACTTGTTTAAAATTGCAGCCTTTGTTAAATTTTCAGCTGGTGCAGTTCACTTTCACAAGGCTCTGTGTCAAATGGTCCAAAGCCTTTTAGCGACCTGTTCCCCTCCTCGCTGCACCAAGAACCACTGAACGAAACGACAAAAAACTCTGAAGAAGACACTGAGCACAACTTCCTTCTTTGCAAAATGTAAGCAAAAATGTAGTAGTTGTAGGATTTCTCTCTTGTCTTTGGCAACAGACCATGAGCCATTTCTTCCGCTAACATTAACTCATGAGCTTGTTTTGGTGGTATTCTCCCAGAATGCCCTGCGCTATAGTTCCCTTCCTGGTTTTGGAGCGGTTTCCAGACTGCTTGGTGTTCTCATAGACATTTGAACCACACCGTAGTTTACTTCAACCAAACCCAGAGCTAGGTTTGTCGGCAGACCAGAGGTTATTTTTGTGGTTCCACCAGAGTTCAATTAGCATTGATAGCTCCCCAAACAAAGCAGACTTTCTAGAAAAACTAACTAGAGTTTGATTAAAGCTCAGCTGGTGGGAATGCACACAAAATCAGCCTGGTGCATTTATGTCTGATTCTGTTTTGTCATTTGTTGTGAGACTATAAGTAGAGAAGGAAGCAGTTCTTGAGCTTTGTTGTATTGACTGAAAAATACCTTTCTAGACTGAATGGCTAGAAACTTTGTCACAGTTCTTTAACCTTCAAACTTTGATTAAATAATTACAGAAAAAAATTACATTTAATTGGACCCCATTCTTGGGGTCTGAACAAATCTCAGACCCCAGAAAACTCCAGCCCAGTAGGGGGCAGTAATGTATCATCAACCATTTGAATTGCAAAATGTTCTAATATATTGTTATTTAATAACTAAAAGCCACAATTTGAGCCTAACATTTACATCATTTATGTAATTTCTTCTCTGCCGAAATGAGAATCGATGATAAGATGAGAACAGTGTGTTAATGCTGAGAGAAAACTCAGTATTAACTCGTTGCTAACATTGAAGATGCTAAAATTGTCTTTGTTTTCTTAAAGGGCTTTTGAAATGAGTTTGAATTGCACACAATCCAAACTCAAACATTTAAACGGCTTGGACTGGAATTGGATTATTCTAATCAGACCAGACTTTAAAACTGAGTTTAACATTTCATTTGTGAAAACACAGATGTATATGGCAGGGTGTTTTTTTAATGATTTCGTTTTATATCTCTTGATATGTTCGAACTAACATGGGCAGAATTGTTCTACACCAATAATAAGTCCCTAAAGTTTCCTTCTGCTGCAACTTTTTCTTCTTAAATCCCTTGGATTAAGTGAGGATTTTTATTTTTCATGATTTTTTCTTTTCCATACTATCATAAATGAACTAATGACACATTGGTTTTATCAATAAAATATGACATTATTGTGTTTAACCAACAGACAGCTGTGAAATTGGTCTCGCTACTTTTATTACATAAACTCAACTATTTAAAAAAAGAAAAAAAAAGGAAAATGTCCAGCAGGGGGAGCTTGAACTTGTGTTTTCTGCTGTGTCTAAGTTTTGTTTTTACTCTGTTCTTGACCAACAGTCTGAGTCTTTAAATGCCTGACAGTTCTCACACCTGATTAGCAGCTTCAGGGCTCGCGCTTCCTTCACGTCACAAAAGAAAGCAGCTTTTAATAGAAACTATTTAGTAGCTTCTGACAAAGGAGGTGGATCATCACAGGCTCCTCTGCCTGAGCAGAAACGCTGCAGGAGAGGGAGGCGGCTGCCTTCAGGGCCCAGGGCCTGAACTGCTGGGACTAATTACATCCCACTACAAAGGCCTGCGACTCCACTCTAATGAATTAAATAGATGGAGCTGGAGCATTCCGGCCATGTTTAGAATACCTGTGATGTTATCTTGTCACCGGGAGCCAAACTTTAACATTGTCCTCTAATTGTTTTTCTTTTTTTCCACACTAAAGGTAAAGGTGTAAAAATGTAGCCGAGGTCAGCCACCTGCTGGGAGCTTTTCTTCATAGATCTGCAACTTGACCTGTGTCTCCCACATGCCCTGTGCATTAGGACGTTACTTTGAACTAACCATTTTTATTAAATTACATCGTTATACTGTTGATGCTAATCTTCAAAGGCTTTCTGATCTTTCTGCAAAGTAGAGTAGAAACTGAAGAGGATCCAGTGGCTGTGAGCAGTTTATCCCTGCAGTTGAAGATTAAAGCTCGTAAAGTTTGGGATTATCATCCTTAATGTGAGACAGACACACTTCTGACTTTAATGTTGCTAAGGTTAATACAACATAAAGCCTAACAGCATCGGCTAACAAAGACTGATGGACGCACTGATTGCTGAACGCAGCCGAGTTTGTTTACCTAATGTCCACAGAGAGCGTCTGTGAGTATGTTTTTAATCTTCTGTTACAGTATGACACCTCACTAGTGGGTCCTGGACTTCTGGATCACCTGCTGACACAGATTTGCATTTGGAGTAAAAATGCAATCAGTGGCCACTTTATTAGGTACTCCTGTTCCAGCGCTAAATTACATTTGGGATGAGAATACCATCTGGTTTTCCTGAAGAAACAGAAGGGCAAAATGACTGAGATAACCAGACATCCTGGCAACTCTCTACAGAGCATCCCACGGTTCTGGGTCTGTTTCTGGGTCTCCTCCATGTTGGATGAGGAGACATTTAACCTGACCCTGAACCTCCTCAACCAATTTACTCACTCAAATATACTTTACCCACTCACCACCAGCCTGAAGGGAGCAACAATGACAACCTTACATTTGGAAGATCTGACTCATTGGGCCATTTTACACTGTGCTGTAAACCACTTCATTGACTTCTTGACAGTCCGGTAGCATCGGTGAGACCAGAACCATTTGTTTCATTTTCAGCTGCTGTGCTTTGGTTTCACACTGCACTGTGAAAAACAACCTGTTCCCCTCCTCACCTGTGGTGGCGCTGTATCAAGAACCACTGGAGGAATTGACACAAAAAAGGAAGACAATTTCCTTTTTCATGAAATATAAATGAGAATGGAGAAGCGTCAGATTTATAGGATTTCTCTTTTATGGCTTTCAATATGTTGCATCAATAAATTCTCGTCATAATCTATTCTTACCCTACACTGGGGTTACAATGGCCTCTTCAGCCGAAGATTTTAATAGTAAATGTAAATAACATTTCTGCAATTGAACTGACCTGAAGACTGTGAGGGTCTGGACCAGGCCGGGCCCTGCACTGCATAAAGGGCTCTAGACTCTTGCTTTGGTTTTGGTTGTATTTACCAGAATGCTCTGCGTTATAATCCACTTCCTGCTTTTGGAGCGTCTGCTTGGCGTTCATATGCTTAAGAACCGCTCCAGAGTCCAACTGAGCCTAAACCGAGGATTTAATGATAATTGAAGTATTGGCTGTGCTGTTTCTTAAATATCAAGTGTTGTTTTAGCTTGAGCAGAAAGAAGACTATTAAGGCCACTGAATAGAAAGGATTTTTGTCACAACATTCTGACTTTTTTTTTTTCTCAAAATGTTGAGTTTTTTCCCACAGACTTGAAACTTTTGATCTCAGAAAATTTAAGTCAGAATCCTTTGGGTTTTTTTCTGTGGCCTTTGCAGGTCTGAAGCATCTTTTTGTTTTGCAAAACAAAACATGAACTATTTGTTTTCTCACCTTTGGCATTGGGAACTGGCAGGATCCAGAACAATAGAAGGCATCAAAAGACTTTGGCGATATAATCCATTCGCTCCACCCGATGTCCGCGAAGTCCACCTTCAGGTACCTGCGCGCGCAGTTCCTGGGCTCGTTCCACTGCTTCTTTCGCGCCTTTTTGATGGTCTGCTCGTCAAACTGCAGGAGGGGATTCTTGGGTCGCTGATTCTTGCGGACCTTTTTCCGTGGCCGACGGGGCTGCTTGTTTTCCATCGGCTCGTAGGGACTCGTCTCGTCCCATCCTCTCGTCTCGTACGGATACTCGGGTCCAGGAAGTTCGTTGTTTTGCAAAGGGAGCAGAACGTTCGCTGACCGCTTGCGTCTGGAGCGCAGCTGTCGCTCTTGCGCCGTGTTGTTGCGCGCTCTCAGCTTTTGGAGGCCGTGTGACGTGGAGCCCTCTCCTCCCAGTGAGTGGTGTCTCTGGAGAGTGGCCACCACGCTTTCGGGCTCCGAGATGGCAGAGTCGTTGGCGTAAACCAGGATGTAGGGCGAACGGTCAGACAGGAGCTTCTTCCACGGCTGCGGACCTTGTGAGGCGACGTCAATCCCGATGAGCAACTCGTCGTGATGTTTGGCCTGATTGACCACGCGGGTTATGTCCCTCCACTGCCACGAAATGAAGTCCCTGTAGAGGGTGGACACGTTTATCCGGAAGTGTCCCAGACTCCTCATCTTGTTGTCCACGGAAGCGAAGCTCCAGATGACCATGTGGACGTGGCTGTGTCTCCGGGGACCGTGGCGGGCGCAGCGTTTGGGCGTGAAGCAGCGCTGCGTGTTGTTGTGAAGGTCTCCGATGTAGTAATGAAGAGTTGCCGACAGAACGTCCTCAGACTGGGTGAGGGAGGTGAGGTTGAAAACCTGCAGCTGCTTGTTGTTTATCGTACCTGTAAACAGTGCGGAGGAACAGTTACACAATGTAAACCTGTTTGTGCACAAAGTGTGGATAAATAAGTTCAGCTGGGTGATCACATCTGTACGGCAGGATATCAGGGCCATTGTGGACAGAAAAAGAAGTAAACTTCCACCATAAAACTCAGACATTTTCTAGAAAAAGTGTTGAAATTTGAAAAGTTGAGAATGAATAAAATTAGTAATAAAATTGTTACATTTGCTGAATACAAAGTTCATTATTCTGTTTCACCTATTTTTATGTTTTCTTATTGAAAGCTAAAAATACAGGTAATTGTCAAACTTTGAAATTGTTTGAAACAGGATTTTAAATCACAGATAAATAGACGCTTGATGCACTGTCACCGTCTGCAGAATTAATACAACAAAGTAAGGATCAAACTTTTACTTGGTGATGTAATGATGGCTCCAGGCTGGTTTCCTGGCTGTGGAAAACCCCACCACGTTTTTTTTAGAACCAGCAGAGAACCACCTGTAGCCACCGTTTTAGTTTAGCACTGAAACCACGATGGTGGAAAACCCCTAAAAATATCCTCCTGCTGCCCAGCTGGGAGTTCTTACTTGTTTGTCCTTTTAAAGTCCCTCAAGATGACATTTCTTCTAATTTGGTCATCTGGACTTAAATGAAGTATACACCTTTTTTTCAGAAGAAATGTGAAGACATCTTAACATTTGCATAGTTTGAGCCAGATTTTATGGAGATCGTACTGTCAGATTCGGATGGTTAACGACAGGATGTATTTGTGAAACTTAAGCATAACGTCAATGTTTAGTTTAGAAAATAATGACAAAGTAAACAACTACTGCATATCAACAGATAAGCCGTCAGAAGTTTTGGAGTATCCATTAGCTTGTTTCCCAATTGCTATTTACTTCTGGTAACATATTGACCACTTTTACCTAACCATCATAACCATGAATCTGAATTGAACCTAAATATTTTAATAACTAAAACAAAAACAAAGCTTTGCTGTGTTTGCACAGAAAGAGAGTCACATTTGTCACCTCAGCAAGTTGACTTTAATCATATGAGAGAGAATCCGTGCACAGAAATGAGGTGATTTTTCCCTTCATATGCAACAATCAGACAACAGGAGGCAGTAGTTTACAATCTTATAGCAGCTGATCGCCTTCAGCAGCGCCTGTATCATGTTGATAACCCAGAGTCTGCGCGTTCAGTTAAAGTGGATGATCTTAAAGGTCAAAGTGAAATAAAAACATGTCTGGAGTGGAAACTCCTGTTCTGCTGCGACACAGACAGGCTGAGCAGCTTCCCGGTTCTGACCCGAGGGGAAGATCTATTTACAGTATCTGAAAGTGAAATGTCAAGATAATGGAGGGAAATGTGACGCTAAACGACGTCGGACGTAATGAAACAATCAGATTTCAGTCAAAGTTTCCGTCTGAAGGAAGGCGACAGGTTGATGGATCAACAGGTGAATTTTTAACAAGCTCCATAAACAAGAAAATAAAGAGGATGAAGTTGATTAATTTTTACTATTTAACCAAGAACAGAACATTGTTTGCCTTTTTTGTTGTTATTTGTTTGAACAACTGGGTTTTCAAAATAAATAGTAAAATGACGCAGATTCTGCGGGCACTGCGCAGTAAAGTGTCAAACAGGACGTTATCAGATCAACTTCAATCTTGAGATGGCAACACGAACACGTCAAGAAAAATAAGCGGATAGTTTCTGCGCTTCGTGGCAAAGTGCGCAGTATCCTGGATACGTACCCCAGTGCGCTTTGAAGCTGCGAACCGTGTTGCCGTCCCTGAAGGGAAACCCGGCCCGGTTGTACTTGTCGTAAAGCATCTGCATGTGCTCCGTCATTGTATCCTGCAAATGCGCGTCCCGGTCATCCTTGGCGGCGAACTTTTTATCCACCGAGTGCGTAAAATCCACCTTAAACCTCTCGGGGAAACTGTCCGTTTTCAACATCGCGCACAATCCAGCGCACAGATAACTCCATCCATAAAGCACGACGAGCACAAACCGAGAGTAGAGAGCCATGGCTGAGGCAAAGTCAGGAGAGAAGTAGGAAAAACAACAGCTGTGGACAAACTATCACAGCCAGACGTGTGTCCTATTTTTTCAAAAGGCAAACCATCAACTGGGGTGTCCAAAATTGTCTATCATCACCACGTCTTCCAAGTTTTCTAAGTGCTTAAGATATGTTGTATTTAAGCAACAATTAGTAGAATTAAAAATGCTCCAGCGCACAGCAGAGGGTGTGATAAAACAGATGCGGGAGATGTGCGCCTCCGCAGAAAACACTGCTGGTCTCAGCTCTGCAGCGCTCAACCGTCCCCCCGTCTCAGCTTTCATTGAAGGTAAAGCATGTTGTGCTTAGTATTATAGGGACCAGCTGGGTATTCCTCTCACACACAGACGCACGCACACAAACGCACACACAGAAAAAGAGAGAGAGAGAGAGGGAGGGAAAGAAGAGAGAGAGAGTTTCCTGCCCAGAATACTTTTACGCACATTTAGCCTGGGGACAAATTATCTCGTTATCGAGAGCAGAAGGAAGCCTGTGTTATCGGCTGATTTCAAGTGAGATAAAGATAAAAATAAAATTCCACTAAAGGACATTCCATCCATTTATTGGACAGATTTCACCACCTGAACTGCTGCCACGGAGCAGCCGCGCCGTGCGTAATTTCTGCTGCGCAGAGCTGTGCGTCTGGGCAGCGCTGCTGAATGAAGCGGCTTACCGTGGGCATTAAAGGCTTTCTTCACTGCTTTGTTTGGGTCAGTGCAGTTAAGCACACACATCCTGTACCATCGCGGCCTGATCCGGATGCGCTACACTTCCCCGCCTCCCGCAAAACAGCCCATCAGGCGGGGTTCAAACACCCCACCCAGCCGCTCCTCTTTCAGGGAAATGATTGGGCCTTTGGACATTTGATGGTAATAATATTAGCATGCCATGTCCTTCATAGCTCTGTGGTGGATGGTTAACTCTACCAGCAAGGTAGAAATGGACAGGAACGATTCACGAGCCTCTCATCTGCCTGTTTGCATCTTCAGTGTTAATTTTTCAGGCCTCTGTGTTTGTTGTTGACCTTCAATCCACTCAAATTTAGTTTAATTACAAACTCCTCTGGCTTTTTACTTTATTTTGTCCATGAGAGCAGCATTTTTGAGCAAATACTTTTTATTCACACTTTCCTAAATTTTAGTGTTGCTAAGGTGACAGCCAACATCATGACGCCTCCATCACCATGCCTGACCATTCAGATACCTGTGAACTGGATGCAGAATATATATTTATTTGAATTTGTTGATGTTGTGGAGGGAAAGAAAACTTATTACATCTGAAAGACTGAACATAAAATGGGTTTGAAAAATATGGTAAACTCCAAAAACACAGATGAATGTGAGTATAAGCTTATGGAAAAACATCATCAAGACATGGATGCAGGATATAAAAATACAAATTTGCAAAGCAATCTTTTTCATTTATTAGGGAAAAGAAGGAAAAAAAAGTTTGCATTTGTTGATGTGAACACTCAGGCAGAAACAACAAAATACTTATAGAAATTAAAGCTCAATATAAACTAATTTCAGCACAAAATAAATTAACCATCTCAATTAGTGTTTTATATATCACAGCTCATCAAAAGCCAGGAAGAAAGAATCTCAGGCTCTTGTTTTTTCTCACTTCAAAACAGAACAGAAATCAGACTTTGTCATTTGTTGCCTCTGTAGAGCTGCATGAACTTAGAGAATTCAATTAAATGGTATGAAAATAATCTCAACTTTAACTTAGCGAAGCTTTACTTAGTTTTGATGTTTTGTACTAGAAGTTAAGGAATGTGTGTGTTCTGTCTGGTGAGCATCACATGACTTCATTTAGACATTTCTGAATTAGATGCAGCTGGAAAAGATGCAGCTGTGTGAAGTGGTTCTTTGCAAATTAGAAAAACTGAGGTGAAACACTAATTAAAAAACTTTCTACTGGCCCTGGACAGGAGTTACTCTGATGGTGGACTGATCAACCATCAAGACCGGCATTTGGGGAGGAAGAATAAATGCTAAAGAAAGGGACAGAGTAACGAGGAGGTGAAGTTACCCAGAACATTAACCGAGACATGGTCAAATCAAACAAACCCAATCAAAAGGAAATGTGAGCAGATAAATGCTTGAAGTTTAACGATGTGGTGCCTATTTATGCTAACTGTGTGATGTTGAAAGGCTCAACCCTGAGATTGTAATTAGAGTAACATTTAAAGTCATTACTGGGTTTGTCATCATTGTTTTTCGTGTTTTTTTTTGCAGTAATTTCAAAGCTCTTGAAGAAAAAAAAAATAGTCAAATCCGGTCAAAATGTATTTTTATGCTATTTAATGGTCAATTTACTTTGAAACCACGTTGTTACTTCATGTTGGGTGTATTAGAGGGAAGTAAAAGCCTCAAACTAATAAAAGCAAGGCTTAGTTAAAACCCCAACAGTTTAAAAGCCCAATAAAAGAATTTGAGGGGGATGAAAGCCATTTAATCCAATTTCACTGTGAATTTGTTGTGTAGACATAATTGATGAATTGATGGCATTTCCTTTAAAGGTAACATGTACGAAATATAATTTCTGTAGTACTAATTTTTCCACGTTTGTTTAAACCTGCATTTAAAGCTTAATTTTAATCCACGTTTCTTTTTCTGCCACAATAGAAGAATCCACTTTATATTCAGTGATGTAAACTACAAAACCATATTTGGGGAAGCTAAAAGAAAAATAAATAAAAAACCACCCTCATGTTGCCTTTTATAATTCTTTCTGCTCACCAGTGTTCATTTATCACAGGCCCAGATCGACCATGGTGTTGAAACACACACACACACACACACACACACACACACACACACACACACACACACACACACACACACACACACACACCCACACACACACACACACACACACACACACACACACACCCTCACACACACACCACACACACGCACACCCTCCCAGCCCCCCCCCTCCCACACACACACACACACACACACACACACAGACGTAAAGAATCACACTGAGATGACCCAAAACCAGTCTGTCATTCCCCAAAACCCAGAAGCCTCAGGTCACCAAACACATTGTTTCAGGGAGACCCACTGGGACCGGTTTGGTTGAAACAGTCAAACCGATGGATGAAGGAATCCTCTGGCACCGAGTCAACGGAGGCAGATTCATGTTTGTCAGGTTGAAATCATTCAGTGACTTTCAGGCCAATAGGAATCACTCGTCTGGTGAACAATAGGCAGAAGAGGAACAGGCAGCCGTTATTTCAGCAGGTTGGGAAAAACGCCTGATCTTATTTTGATGAAAAAATGTAAACATGCAAAAGGGCTGAAGGAAACCAAAATACAACTTGCTGAAAATCTGTCATTACCACACAAGTAGAAGCTATTTTGGAGGTTTACAGATAATTTTTTTGCAAATAAACTCTGAAAAGGGAGAGCAGTTTTTTCTTACGGGTTTTCTATGAAGGAAATATAAATGTTATTATTTATCAAAGCATCAAAACATTTTGGAAACCTTTATAAAAGCATTTTTATTTTCATTTGACATGTTTTCTGGGTTTTGCTGAGCAGAAGGTAATGGGACTTTTTTCCTTTGACACTAAGGCTGGAGCTGCAGATGCATCAAGTAACGGCAGCAGGTTTGCTGTGCAGCTTCAAGTTCTAAAAAATGCGAAACACTCAATAATTAACCAAGTTAGCTTTCACTGTTCAGCCCCAAAAATTTTTAAGGGAGCTATCTAGGATTCTTCATTTGTTTCTTTTCTGAACTTAGAGTAGGTTTTTTAACAAATAAAGGCGTATAGGTCCAGGTGGGAAGAAAACCCAGTAGTGGATCCTAGAACCTTATAGAAAATTGTAAGGTTCTAAGTTTTTTGAGTACAAACCAGCACTGAAGTCTGCAGGTGAGTCAGACTATAACAGAAGGACTTCTGCTCCACTGAACTCATTTTTTGAGATGAAAATTCTTAATTAACCCTGTTGTGTCTTCATTGTTCGTTTAGGGTTCGGTTTTTTGGAGGCTTGTCTGGGATTGAGTGAGCAGTCTGTGATCTTGGTAGAATAAAAAAAGCTGGAGGATGTGAAGTGGAGCCACAGCTGGACTCATAAATCTAACAAATGACAAGGTAAGATTCTTGGTTCTTGGTATTTAGCAGAATGAATTCACTTGTTTGTTTGCACTTCATTGCTCAATAATGCAGCGTCTGACACTAGCCCTTTAAATGCGTCTCTGCTCCAACACACCTGAATCAAATGGCTACATTTCCTCCTCAGCATGTAATCAAGTTTTGCAGAAGTTACTGCTTTGATTGATATCTGTTTTTTATTTTGCTTGTACAATAACCAACTCACTCTCTGGCTAAAGTATTTGATATAGAGCTGCAGTCTATATCAAATCCAACACAGATTTTTTTTTCTCCCAATTAAGTTTAAATGTTTGTCAACAAAAAGATGGCATCATCGTGAAGTGTATATTTTATTTCAAAAACAAAAACTGAAAAAACATTTGTTTTTGAGGCAGAATCTTTCAGAAAGTTGGATTTTTTTCTGGACTTATCCATTTGTGACAACTGTTTAGAGCAACTTTGATACTTTTCAAGGCATTGGTTGAGTTCTCGCAATAAAAACACAAATGTATGCACTCAGGTAAAAGTGGCCGTCAGTTTGAGACTGGGATTTATGTTTTGTCTTCAGCAGCTTTGTGGTTTGTGTAACTTCACAGGACAGCTGCAGGTACAGAGACTGAATTATGCACAGAGGTGAACTATGTTTGATGATTATGTGACTTCTGAAGGAAATGCACTAGATTTTGTTTTTGGGGATTAAAATGCACATCATCATATTTTTGGATTTCTATTAAATATATATATATATAAAATACAATCATTATAGTTTTGATTGTGAAGCTTTTATTCCCTTCAAGTATTCAGAAATAAACACAAATAGAAAGCAAGGGACCAGTTTGGAAAACAAGTTGAACTGCCAAGATTCATCTTCAGACTGAACACATATGAAAGAAGAAAACACAAAAGCCCTGTTATATGTCATCATCTTATGGCCAGAGATAATATTACTGGTGTGATTCCCACCATCTGTTTCAGTATTAATGACAAAAATTAAACTTCTTCAAGTTTCAAACAGGTTTTCAAATGGGATTATTTGTAGAGTTATGGTGCATTAAAATCTGTCAGACAATGACTGATATGGGAGTGATGGAGAGCTTTGATGTCCGGCCTAGCGTCCTTCCATCTGGGAACACAAGGAATGCTTTAAGCCCATTACCCACTATTCCAGTCCAATTGGAGCTACCGCAGCCTGGGGGAGGACATAAGAGCTGCCCCCATCATCTTTCAAAGCTCTTACGCCTTTCATTTGTTTAGACAAACGACCCAAAATCATGTTGGCCCCAACAGTGGATGGACCTGGGGTTGAGGAGGCGATTCTGGCTACTAAAGGAAACTTTGCAGCCAACAGAATATGTAAGTTCCAGTCTAAGCTTAAGGAAACTCTGTCTGTCACTCCAGTCTGTCCACGTCTTCCTCTGGGAATTGTCTGTCTGAAGTCGCCGCAGCGGCACCTCCACCCTGATGGCATGCGTGATACGAGGGAAAGAGTTTGTAAACTATGATGATGCAGCTGCAGCTAAATTAGAGACTTTCAGCGCTCTGCGTTGCGCGCCAGATTGCACGGCTGTGTCGACGTCAGCGGGTCAGAACGTTCTCACACTGTGGTCGTACAGCACGACGTGGAGGTAGAGGTCCGACTGGAGGAGCGTCCCGCTGGAGTCCCCTCTGGAGTCCCCTCTGGAGTCCCCTCTGGACCCGGACTGAAACCAAACAACACGCGTTTAAAAGTGGCTTCATTTGGACAAAGCAGATCAGTGAGTTTTATGAACTTGAAGGATGTTCTTATTGAGACAAGTTCTGTATTATTTATTTGGAACATTTCAGCAACAATGCAGTTCAAAGTGCTTTATATCATACAAACACAAAAAAATAAAAATTGAGAAACCAGCGACAAACTTCACATAAGAGATGCTGAAAGCACAGGGAGTCATATCCTTTGATTTGATCCAAAAACAATCTCTGACAGAGAAAGTGTTTGGTTTGGGTTTAAATTAACAGCTGCAAGAATAGAAGGAGGAGGTCCATTATGAAGGATTTGCATCAAAGCATATCCGTGTGTTGAAATGGCCTAGTCAAAGTCTTGACCTAAAACCAGCTCAGGTTTTTATAAGCATGCATCCACGGATCCATCCACGTGAAACCACAGGCAGCTGGAAGCGTTTCCTCTCAGACCATCTGTGTCATGGGACTCATTCATTGTCAGCCATCACACCCAATCTACACGTTTACCTCAAACACTCCTGTGGGTGTCGTGATGACTGAGGCGATCAAAGGCGAAACAGACGACGAAAAATGACTTCATCGGCGGAGTCGGAAACTCTGGTAAACGGCAAACCTCCACATGATCGGGAAACCAAAATGTTTTACTGATGCTCACATCATCTAAGGAAAACTTTTCTTTCAGCTTCTTTTTCCGGTCAAACCAAATGAACCACAGAGATAAGAGAACCCCTTCACCATCAACCACATTTCTGCTGCAAGAGAACAAGCGGTCGTGGTTTAGCAAAGGCAGAAAAACAAAGTGGGTCGGATTTAGCCTGCACTTCAAAAACTCAAAATATCACCAATTATTTTTGTCTTGTTTCTAGTTTAAATATCCTAGTATCTTAGACAAAGCTAACTCATGAGTATATTTCCTGTAAGGCAGAACATTTTTTTCATACTAATGTAGAACATGTCTTGATATCAGTGAAATAATTTGCCTGAGGAACAAGTATGCCTTTACCAATATGAAGGAATTTATTACTTAAAACAAGCTCCTATATCATGCTGAAAAGTTGCCTGTAAGTTCATTTTGTCTTATTTTAACTGCACCAAGATATTTGCACTAGAAACTAGACCAAACGTGCTTGTCTCAGTTTTGTGATTTTGCAGCGTGAACTGTAAAGACGGAGCTGCAGACGGAGGGTTAAAAGCTGGACGCTTCAGGGCTGAGCTGCGCTGCGTTTCTGGACACGCGGGTGGTTTGATGTCCCTGGCTTCCTGCGCCTTCCATCGCTTGTGTTTTTAATAGACGGCTGGTCGGGGCGGGGCTCGACCGCAGCTAGAACACTGTGCTGCCATTTTGGCCTCAAAAACGCAGTCCCCACAGCTCTGTCTGCAGTTTCAAAATAGTTCGGCCCCACCAACTGCTTTCTTACCCCCAGCAAAGAAGGAGGCAGGAGGGAAAATAAGAGCCGTCCCAGTGGGCCGTTATTCTGCAAAGGCCTCCGCCAGAAGCAGAGCCTGGAGGAAGCACCTGCCTCCACCTCTTGACCCTTCGCTCCGTGTGCAGGTGGAAAGCAAATATGATTCCTTCGTCGCTGTCGGCTTCTCCAGCTGATATCTGCAGCTTGTTAAAAAGCTTCAGTGCCTAAAACTCAGGGCCAGTGAGATAATATAGAACCGTCACGGTAACATGCTCTGTTAGATATAACACTAGCTTTAAAGACAAAGTGTGCCTGGAAGCAAACTGGATCTGATAAGAACTTTTACTTCCCAGAAACATTTTTACAGCCATGCAGCAGGTGGCTGGGTCTGATTATGGCTGCCTGAGGCCCAGAAGCAAAGCAGCAGAGAAACAATTCTTACCCGAGGATTCAGCATCGTTTTGTCCCTCTTGCTCTTAAAGAGAAGTCCGTTTGGGTCATCATAAGTCACCTCAAAGTTGGGGCTGGAGTTGGAGGTGGATGTCTGTGTCTTCCAGTTGTAGTAGCTGTGAAGGAAACGGGGATACAACTGAGTCTTTCAGGAAGGTTTTAAATGAAGAAAAACGATGCTGCCAGCTGGGTCTGAAGATCTCTGCAATCATCTTCTTCTCTTAACCGACCATGACCATAGGCGCCGGAACAGGTGGAGGCAGGGGGCCACTTTACGGCCCTGCTCTGTCCAGCCCGTCCACTGGTCCCACCAGACATTTACAGACTGCACACAACTCTGACAATCCGTGACTGACATCTCTCTGTGTTCTTACGCAGACAGAGGTACAAATAAAACCTCCAGCACTGATCGGGACCAAATCTAAGACTCCAGATCAGAACCGTCGCCCGAAGGTTTACGCACATGCAGCAGCTTCGAGTCGGGTTGGGATCAGGAACCAGTCTGACGTCTGAAAAAAGGCTTTGACTCTGATCCGGTCCGGAGTCAGCGTGAGTTGCTAGGTAACGGTGCTGTGGGACTCAGTAATCAGGAAGTTTTTGAAACAGATTTTCGAGACACCAAAAACTTTAACATATTGCCAAACACTGTCTGGGTGGGATTTTGAAGAGCTTGTGTTGTTTTTACTAAATGGAAGTACAAAAACATGCAAAATATAGATTTTGTATAAAAGATCCTCTTTCAGGATCCACTGTACAATTCACTACACTGTCATGTCAGCGGCATCGGATTCATTTTTGAGGGGGTCCCTGGGATGTTTTGTCACCTCTGTTACGCACTTTGAATGTCAAGCACGCGCACTTGTTCAATTGATATGGTGGCACCTGTCATTCAATTCAGTGGGTTTGTCGCAATTTGTCCCAAAATAAACAGTAAATATCTCTTACCTGGAGGACAAGATTTTTGGGTCTGCCATACGCTAGATTTGATGATTGTTGCTATTAAATGCACTGCAGTCATAGCGATTTGGTGGGAAATAATTCGAAAACAATGTTAAAAGTTGTCAGTGGGGAAGATGCAGAAAGCAGCTTTACACAGAGCATTCAGATGATGGAATAAACTTTACTCCATTTTCAAAACTGGAGTCTGAAAAATGTAAAAGAGGATAAAGGTCTGCAGCTGATCAGAGATCGACGGTATTGAAACGTCGTGTTTGTATGAAGGTTTTGTCATCATTACATCATTGGTGTGAACGCAGTAGTAGCGGGAGAAACAGTTGTCCAACTGGGTGACCCGTCAGCTCTTCACACACACACACACACACACACCTACCCCCCCCCCACACACCTACCCCCCCCTCCACACACACACACACACACACCTACACACAAACACACACACACCCAGCATAACTGGTCAGCTGGTTTTACTGCTGTACAATGTACAATGGCTGCTGGAAAAGACAAGTGCTTTGTTGTTAACTTAACGTCCAGAAGCCACTTGCTACATTCATGTTGGTTGTGCAGGAGACTTCACTCCTGCTTTTCAAAGTTGTATAATTGTGCATCTGTAGGCAGCCATTTTCACATGTGAGTGTAAATGTCGCATTAAGGGGCGTGGCCAGTAGCAGCTTATTTGGATTCAAAGAGATAAGATGTCCTAAAACTATTTTATTGATGTTGTGGAGTACAAAACATCTCTTGATGTGGTGAATGTTTTGCATTTTTGCTGTGTGGACAAATTTGTCATTTTTCAGTTACGTAGTGGGACATAGTGCTGGGATTAATTAAATTTTTTAATTTACTGTTAAATTTATTGCTTATCTGGAATAAAGAAAGTAAAGTGTTTTGTTGTTTATTGTTTACAGTCAATCTGTATGTGTAGGTCAGAGCTTTGCAAAACTGAAGATAAGAAATGTCTAAACATTTCTGTTTGGTGCATTTTTTCTGATTTATTTAAGAAAAAGTTTGGCTCCAGTGCAGTTAGATCTAAAGACATGACCTTTGAACGGCAGTGCATTCCAAAGAACATAACCATGAATTTAATTTTAAGAGAATCATACCAAAACAGAACATATCGTTCTATTGTAACACAGCTCTGCTTTACGGTTTTAAGATGCATCAGTATCAATAGAAATAGGATTTTGTGAGGAGAAATCTGCCAATTTGAATAAAAATATTTAAAAAGGTCCCACTGTAAATAATATATTTTGCACAACTCTTTTGGATTTATTAGAAAGAAACGATGGATGAACCCAGAAGAAGAGCATAAACCACAGAGCAGTAATCTCCACTGAGGGAACATTCATGAGCTGATTAAAACAAAGGAAAACAGCCGTCACTCAGATATTCTTTATCAGAGGTCAAGAGGTTAAAAAGCTGTTTCCAATTCCATGTGCAGGGCACCAAATCCAGGCTGAAGCTGTGACTAATCAGCAAGTGAAACCAAAGAATGGCTTCAATTCCAGAATAAATGACTGATTAATTCACAGCATCCGATTCAAGTCGCTCAGCTTCTCGCTCCTCAGGAGGAGAAACCATGTTTCTAAAGGGACAAGAATATTAATAAATATGTTTCTCTTTTTGACAGAGATGTAAAATATCCTGGATGTTTTTGATGATTTCAGATCGAAAGGTTTGTTTTTGTTCTTTTGTTGAGAAACAACCTCAGGTTCGCATTCTTCAGCCGTGGAATTGGCAGATCTTCCGTCTTTGTTGACATGAAATATGATTCAGGTTTGGAGGTGAAAACATCTCATTATAGCAGGTTTTGAACTCTGCGTTGTTCCCTCTGAGGGCCTGGACTCCATTCCTCTTGGCAGGTAATGAGAAACCTAAAGACAAAAGTCTTGAAAATTATTTTAACTTTGTTTAAAAAAAAAAACAGTAAATTAATGTTAAAGAAGGTCAGGCTGAGGTGAAAAGCTTCTTCTTTGTTATACTGATTTAGCATAAACAAATGCATGAAAACATTTACATTTCCCTTACTGTTCTCTGCTCTGAAACGTTATAAATTTTGTGATTGTTAAAACATTCCAACAGGATAAATTGTAGAAACCTGAAACATTCCCTTTAACTTAAGTATATTTCTTAGAATCCAGATGTTATATTTGATCAACAAACATTCAATTTTATGTTATTTATTTTCACATGCTTATGTGGATGATTTAGAGAAATCAGCCACATAAGTTTTTCATTTACTCTAGGTGAGAAACTACAGTAGATGAATTTAAATTAAAGTGTTTCTTTAGTATTACAGTTGTATTTTTTAATTTGAACTGAAGTAACTATGGAGGAAAACCCTTCAAAAAAACATTCTGACTTCTGCAGGTCAGATGTCATAAGTGAAGATGATAAACTGGGATTTTTCCAGTTTTTATGACGATGTTGCTACATGGAGAGAGTGGGTTTTATTTTTGAAGGAGAAAAAAAAAAGACAGGAAAAATATTGTTCACCGGATGTAGATTTTGTATGGATAAACATTCTGAATAAATATACATAAATAAAAAAAACAACATATGATGTAAAAAAAAAACCCAAAAAAGACTTTTAAGGGACTTGGTTTAAATTTCAGAAACTGTCTTTGGTCTTCTGTAGTTGTGTTTATTTAAGAAGTAAAATCTGCTGTGACACATTAAAACCTGTCCATAAATGCTTATCTGCATCTGAGACATAAAAAAGGTTTTCTCCAAGTAAAATATTAAACTTCATAGCTACAAATTACAAGAAGAGATTTGGTCCAAGGAATACATCACATACTCCTGCGGCTTTCCAAAACCTCCCTGCCTCACACTAAGCAATTTTAGGAAATGTAAATAAATATTTTGCAAAGCGGTCTGCTGAATTAGCTCTGAAAATGGGTCAGGTCTGAGCTCAGTTCTGGTATCCAGGCAGGACGTTTTTATTTATGTGAGTCTGGATTACGTCCACTGTCTGTAGATTTGATTTAATTTGCTGTTTTTATTGTTTTGGTTTGATGTCGGCTTCAGTTGTGCTCTGGCTGAGTTTAAACGACTTTCATTTTCTATCGTCGCTGCCACTTTATGGATTTTATTTTGTAGACTCAGTCTCGTTCTGCTGACCTCCTGCCACACATGGTCTTGATTTGTAATTATCACACCTGCATCCATTTAGGTGTTTCTTCCTCACTATATAAGTCCTGTGTTTCTCATGTTGCTGGTTTGCATTGCTCTTGATTCGGTTGGGTTCTCTGCACACAGTTTGATTTGAAGTTCTTTGTGTTTAGGAGACCTAAACACTGATCTCCTAAAAGTAAAAACATCTATGTTGATCTGCAAGGTTGTTATTTGATTAAAATTTAAAATACTTAATTATAGTGCTGGCCAAATGAAGCCTTGTGAAGCAATGATATTCATTTCTAACTAGTGACATCTGCTGTTGAAACTGTGGCAGCCTTGACACTCAGACATAATTAAAAAAAATTAGTAAATGCAATATTGTCAAAGTTTTTTGTCAGACTTATGTTTAGTAGCAGGAGAGTCAGTTAAATTCTATTTAATTTTTTTTAGTTATTAAAATTATTTTTAGCCAATCCTGGTATATGTTGACTGTTGGTGGCTGTTTTCTTACATCCATTATGATGCAACGTATTCTGCTCTGAAACGTTTAGTGCTGTGACTGGAGAAAATACACAGATTTTTGGTGTTGAATAGAAACTAAGTTAAATGGCTTTAGTGTTTGTGTTTTGTTTGTTTTTTTGTCATAGACCCACTTTATTTTTATTTAACATTTATTTCATTCAGAGAAAAAACCCAATTGAGATTCAAAATCTCTTGCGAAAGAATCCTGGCCAAGACCGGCAGCGTCGCAGAAAAAGCAGAAAACGTTAACGCCGTCGTAAATCAATTAAAGGATTCCTCTGTGGAAACATTAACAGACAGATGATTCATTCTCAAAATCAATAAGAACAGCCCTAGAAGCATTTAGTGACAACAGATCCTTTTAAGTTTCTGTATTTCTGCAACTGATTCCAAGAAGATGGAGCAGAAAACTGAAAAGTTTTCTTTCCATGTTCAGTTCAAACTTTAGGCACAGAAAGTAAAAATAATTTCTCACAACAAAGAGGATATCCTCCTTTCTATTTACAGGCCAACACAT